CCACTCCCCACTCCTCAGGGTTTCTCTGTGTAGTCCTGGCTGTCCTGGAACTCGCTCTATAGACCAGGCTGGCCACAAACTCATAGAGAGCTGCCTCTTCTGCCTCCCCACCACCTGCCTTCATACTGGATTTTTTATACTTGGTATTTCCACATCCACCTGCTTTTGCTTCCTTGCATTTTTCTAGCTTCTAATCACTTAACATGTTCACAGCACCCAAACTAGCTGGTTTGGTTGTCTTCTTGGTTCAGTTTTGCTGTAACAGTTGTGAAACAGTGTTTTCCCATTTTACCCCTCCTGTCTGTCGCTTCACATCCATTTCCTTTACAGATGGCGCCTTCTTTATTTGGCCAACTGACTGTGAAATAGTTTATTAAGGGTTACTTCTGGGTCCTATCTTTCTGCTTCATTTTGTTGCTCCATGGCTTCCTTCAACATCATGACTTTTGACGTTATCTAGTACCTTTATATTGATTATACCTAAATTTACCTTATGCCAGACCTCTGCTCAGCAGCATCAAAAGCATTCATTTACAGTCATTGTTTTATTTGGCATTTCCTTTTAGGGGTCTCAAGAGACATCTCAAACAAAACCTATTTGAAATCAGAATCATAACCTCTCCTCTGACACTTGATCTTCCAGTGTTCTTTATGTGGAAACTGTTGTTTAGTCAGCTAGAGAAGCTAGAAACTGAGGAGTAACTGTACAACAGATTCCTAACCCAGTGTTCTTTGTATGCCTACGAGAAACATGGGGAGCCCAGTGAGAGATCGCCTTAAAAACTTATGGAGTTCCTGGAGTGAATTTCTGAGTTGACTTTCCCCTTCTTTTATGGTTTAGAGAAGGTCTTTGCGTTGTCTTGCAGGATAGCACCTTGTACTAAAATTAGATGTAGCATTTATAATAAATATTGTATATTTAGTATATATTATAAACATATACATTACAAATATATTTGTTATATGTTATTCATAAATATGTTTTTAATGTATAACAAATATATTGTATTTATTATAAATGTTGCCAAAAGGACCTGTTTTAATTGAGGTTTGTTTTCCCCTTTGTCAAGGGACACATGTAAGTTATGTGCTTAGTCTATTCTGGCATTAGCCATTTTTCAAATAGTTGTTCAGAACTAATTAAAGCATGTCTTTTAAACGATATTTTGTATTGTAATATTAATGCAGTTTTTGAGAAATTGCTCCATTTTTGTTTGGCAGGTCTCCATTGGAAGCATTCTAGAAATGTTTGAGGTTGTTCACATGGGGTCAAGTAGCGAAGGGGGCAGTGGGAAGAACATCAGGGCATCTGCTGCATGTGACGGAGTCTCCACTGAAAGTGACGGCGAGAATGTGAAATGACCTTAGTCCATAAGACTTAATTGTATGTTATTTAAGAAATGTTATTATCATTTTAAATCTTAAAGTTTGTTGTTTAAATTTTAAATCTTTTCTTTAAGATCTATTCCAGTCGAGAACTTGAAGAAACGTTAAATAAGATCAGGGAAATTTTGTCAGATGACAAACATGACTGGGACCAGCGTGCCAATGCAGTGAGTTCTCATCCTTTATCTTCTTTTTGTTTGTTTGTTTGTTTGTTTATTGTGTATACAGTGTTCAGCCTGCAGGCCAGAAGAGGGCACCTGATCTCATTATGGATGGTTGCGAGCCCCCATATGGTTGCTGAGAATTGAACTCAGGACCTCTGGAAGAACAGCCAGTGCTCTTAACCTCTGAGCCATCTCTCCAGCCCCTATCCTTTATCTTCTTATCCCTCTCTTCTTAGCAGTGTTCATGTTCAAAACTCAGAGAGAACGTGTATGCAGCTGTGGTGATAGCGATAGTAAATTAGAGTCCGATGGGGAACATTTCTAATAGGCACTGTCAGCTTTAGATTGAGGCTCTTTCTGTTTTTGCTGATCATGTCAGTGCCTGTCCCACAAGCCTGTCCCCTTGGGTTCTTTGCTGACTGACAAGGAAATGTGAAATTGAGAGCTCTGGCCTGACCTTCTCAGGGTCACCTAGCTGCTTATCAGCAACTTTATGATTGCACCCTAAAGTCGTGAAGACTTACTAGAGAAGAGAAAAAAGTTACTTCTCTTGTGGGCTCAGTATTTTTTCAGCATTGACATAATTCCACAGCAGGGTGTCTGTTCATCTGACTCTCTACTTTGTAGTGAATAAAATGAATGTGAATGAATGATTTACAAAAATTGTGATTATCCTAACTTCCTGAGTTAGGAATAGTTTATTTACAGTAGATTCCTTGAAGGAAATATTTGATGAATCTTAAAATAATGTTCGTGTTGACGTCTGTTCTATATTGTATTTCACCTCTTGTGATGTTGTCAAATTTGACAAGATTACAGTGAGCACTTCGGCATCCTCAGGAAGCCAGGAAAGATGCCCCGTGCTCTCAAGGCTTCCAGTCTGGCTCCTCATGGCGCCTCCTGAGAAATAGTGCTTTATGACATTATGTATTACAGACTGTTCTCCATCTCTGTGGGAAGGCTTCTGTGTCAGGGGCTAGAGAGATGGCTCAGAGGTTGAGAACACTGACTGCTCTCCCAGAGGACCCAGGTTCAATTCCCAGCACCCATATGGCCCTCATATGCAGGCAAAACACCAGTGTACATGAAGTAAAAATAAATAATTGAAAAAAAGAAGTCTGTACCTTTGAATGTTTAATGTGTTCTTAACACAAAAAATAGTGCTTTGGATATGTTTAAGTATGATTTTTAGTTGTTTTTCAGTTCTAATCAAGCATAAATTAGAATTAAAAAAAATAACAGTTTTGTTATGGGTGATCTGTAGAGAAACAGCACAGATTAAAATAAAAGATATAAACATGAATCTGGTTTTGTTTCCTTTGAAAGTAGTCATTCAGAAATAGTCTGAATTGTTTGACATTTTCTTTGTTCATTCAGGCATGTGTAGAAACACATACACTCCACTCCTTTCATAAAAAACTAAACAGTGCTTAATCCCTTGCTCTGTTTTATTTAACAGATCATGCCTATTCAATATACCTGGTATAGATGTTAAGCTCGTCATAGTTGCTCAGATATTTACTGAATGCAGATCAATGTGTACATAAATTATTTAGTTTAATATATATGTATGTTTGTAACTTATTAAAAATCATTCTCATTTGATGATTTTACAGATTTTAGGGTTTTTTGTTTTTTGTTGTTTTGCTTGTTTGTGGGTTTTATTGTTTTTGCTTTGGTTTTTTGAGATATGGTTTCTCTGTGTGTAGCCCTGGCTGTTCTGGAACTTGCTCTATAGACCAAGCTGACCTCAAACTCAGAGATCTACCTGCCTATACCTCTGAGTGCTGGGATTAAAGGTGTACGCTACCACCGACCAGTGTTTATGTTTTTGTATTTGTAGATAGGTTCTCTCTAGTATCCTTGGCTGTCCTGCAGCTCACTGTATAGAGTAAGTTGGCCTCAGACTCAAGGAGATTGGCCTGCCTCTGCCTTGAGTACTGGGCTTAATGGAGTCACCACCAGGCTCAGCTTTAACAACATAATAAATGTCCTTGTGCTCTCTATTTCCCTTGGTATGATGTTAATAAGTACTTCACCACTGAACTGAGTCCCGAATCTTTGCATATACTTGTAACAGTTCTGTTACTATAGGCTAGAATACTTACATGTAGGTTCTTGGTAAAGAGTACATGCAATTTTATTTCAGTCAGTGAATAAAGGCTTTAGTCCTTGATAATTTTACTCACATTGTGTGTGTGTGTGTGTGTGTGTGTGTGTGTGTGTGTGTGTGTGTGTGTTTGTGAGCATTTCTCTCTGGTACTGTATGCTCTCAAGTTTGTAAGTTCTTGTCCCTCTGATGGGTAAAGAATATCTTTCTTGCAGCTTTGACTTAGCTTGTCAGTAGCGCAGCTGAACACAGTTTTGTATAGTTACTTTACTCAGTTTAATATTAGTTTTTCTTTGTCGCACTTTATTTTTTATTATGTATTGTTTGTGTCTTGTTTATTTAGCATGTATGAGGCCTTTGTTTAACCTTAAGCAAACCCACACAAACCCAACACAGCAGAGGAGGGAGAAGAGAAGGGAGAGATTTGAGGCTAGTAATAGGTAATGATATTGGTTGTCCAACATTGTGAATGTGCTTATATGTCACAAATTAAATCTTTTAAAATGATAAATTTCATGGTAATTACATTTTACTGTACTTTAAAAAAAAGAATGAATAATTAAAAATTTTAAATTTACTTGTTTATGTATATATGTATCTGTTTGAACATGTAACTAAACTTGTAATGGTGTTTTTTCAGAAAGCTTTTTGTTGTTTTATATGTTTATTTATGAGATGCATTCAGTGCCATTAAAATGTCTGAATTTAGTTATGTAAATGTAATGAAGTCCATATAGTTCATTTTAAAGAAAAATGAAAATGTTTAGATGATGTAGTTTGGGTACCTTTTTTATAGGCTGTCACCTTTTTATATCAATAATGAAAAATTTCTTTGTTTTAGCTTAAGAAAATCAGATCACTGCTTGTTGCTGGGGCTGCACAGTATGATTGCTTTTTCCAGCATTTGCGTTTGTTGGATGGAGCACTTAAGCTGTCTGCTAAGGACCTCAGATCCCAGGTGGTCAGAGAAGCTTGCATCACTGTTGCGTAAGTGTAGCCCTCTTGTGCTGAGGGCTTTTGTTTCGTTTCCTTTGCACAGGGTCCTAGTATACAGCCCTGGCTCCCCTGGTGCCTGGTATTGTTTGGTTGTTTTACTCTTTACTCTTTGGGGCCTGCCACCCAGCTCCCAGATAAATCACACAGAGGCCTGTTAGTATTTACGAATGCCTGGCCTTACCTTCGCTTGTTTCTTACCAGCTTTTCTTAACTTAAATTACCTCCTCTGTCTTTTGCCTCTGGGCTTTTTACCTTTCTCTATTCTATATACCTTTCTTTTCTTATTCCATGTCTGGCTAGGTGGCTGGCCCCTTCTTTTCTTGATCCTTGATCCTTGATCCTCTCTTCCTTGATTTCTCCTCCTATTTATTCTTTGCCTGCCAGCCCTGCCTATCCTTTCTCCTGCCTAGCTATTGACCATTCAGCTCTTAATTAGACCCATCAGGCGTTTTAGACAGGAAAAGCAACACAGCGTTACAGAGTTAAAAAAAAAAACCCGCAACATAAAAGAATGCAAAGCAGCCAGGCGGCGGCGCACGCCTTTAATCCCAGCACTTGGGAGGCAGAGGCAGGCAGATCTCTGTGAGTTCAAGGCCAGCCTGGTATACAGAGTGAGTTCCAGGACAGCCAGGACTGTTTCACAGAAAAACCATGTCTCAGGGGGGGAAAAAAAAAAGCAATACATCTTTGCATCATTAAACAAATATTCTATACCATAAACAAATGTAACACATCTTAAAATAATATTCTTCAACAGTCTGCGAACTCACCGTATAAAGCAGGCTAGTCTCAAACTCACAGAAATCTGCCTTCCTCTGCTTTTCCAAGTCCTGAGGTAAAAGGTGTACACCAGCATACCTGGAATGCTAACTCATTTTTTATTAATAAATGTAGTACTCATTGAATCAATATTCAGTAAGTGAAGCAATAGCAGGATTACCCCAAAGAAGCTGATATGTGATCCCAGAATCATTTTTATTGTACACACGGATTCAGTTATTATTTTTCTCTCTTCTTTCTTCATGTTACTTTTTATAAAATCTTCTGATGAGATTATGACATAGTGATAGGATACTGAGCTAGCATGTGTGAGGCCATGGGTCCAATCCCTAACACGAGATAAAAGGCATCTTCCATAATCTTTACACCAACCTTAAAATGCCAGCCTGCTGGGGATTTGTTGATACTTTGTCAACTCCATGTGTATGGGGAAAAATGAATGGGTCTGGAACTGGCTCTGCTTAGTTTTCCTAGTCCTAATTTGGCTGTTAAGTACCAGTTTCTGATACTGTAGCAAATTAGAATCATAACACCTTAATTTATCAAAATCTGTATGTATGTCATCTTCCCCTGAAATCCCATTTCTCACTGCACTCACCTGAATAGTGTTGTTGCATATGTGGTTATTTAAGTATTGTTTGAAGACAAGGAACACAAAGGTTCCTCCAGTACATCTTCTAGTTACTATTGTTTTACTGTTCTAAGGAAACAAAGGGCATATAAAAATTATGAGGATTGCAAGAAGGGTGGGGAAGTGCTAGGTTGCATAATTACCCTGTGTAGGGGACTCTGTGGATGACCTGTGAGTCATCATGTGGTTGCTGGGAATTGAACTCAGGACCTCCGGAAGAGCAGGCAGTGCTCTCAATGCTGAGCCGTCTCTCCAGCCCCCTATGGAGGACTTGTAATCAAAGGATGTTATCAAGGTTGCCAAGTGACATAAATAAACCAAAATGATGATATATCTCTGGCAAAACAAATAACAGGAATTCATAAATATAACCTTGAAAAATATACTTACAGGCTAGTAAGATGGTTCAGTGGGTAAGAGCATTTCCTGGCAACCTGAATTCAATCCCCTGGATTCAAACGGTGGGAGAGCACTGGTCCCTGAGTGTTGTCCTCTCACCTCGACATGCTATGCTTTGGTACTCATATGTACACAAAATAAACAAAATAAATATGATTTTTAAAGAAAGAACCAAACCAAAATATATTTGAAATCAGACTAGGAAAACTGCAGAGTAAGTAAATAGCTTTTTGCAGGCAATGTACAGTGGAGGCAAAGCTAAGTGACTTGAAAGATAGACATGAACAGAGCAGTGTGGTCATCTCCTGGTGCTGCCTTAGAGACATAGAGTAGCGTAGGGACCCATGTAGACCAAGGCAATCTACTGAATTAGGAAAACAGAGATCCAAGTTTCAGTAGGCTTGGGTAGCCAAGATTAGTATGCAGAATAGTGAAAAAAAAAAGAGAGAGAGAGAGAGAGAGAGAGAGAGAGAGAGAGAGAGAGAGAGAGAGAGAGAGAGAGAGAGAGACAGCCAAAGAGCTGTAGAAATTGATGTGATCCTGGGTCTAGCTGAATACCTGAATATCTGCTCATGTGAGAGCTACAACTCACTGAGGAGGAGAGAAAACCACTGTTTCCCAACACTGAGGCAAACCCCAATTCCCAGGGCTCCTTCAGGAAAACTTGTAAATCTGACTTTTCCAGAATCCTTGTTAGTGCCCAACACATGGGACAGCGCCCCCAGAAACGCCCATGCACAGGTCCTGAACCAGCTGCTGTAGGCCTCACCTCTCCCAGCAAGCTTATCAAAAAGTCAAATTGATTCCCAGGTATGTTACCTGCCTACTGGAACAGAACTTACACTCCTTAGAGGAAGACACTGCATTTGAGGGCCCTTTTTGCCTAGGAATCAGGCAAAAACTGACTTTGTAATTGAACACTAGCAAGTCTGGAGTCCCTCTTTGAATCAAGAACCTTCATTTTTGGCACAAATTGTATCCCAACCATGCATTTTCAGTAAGAGAGTAAACTGCTGAGCATACATGTAATCCTTTCGCTTGGGAGGTGGAAATAGGAGGATCAGAGTTAAAAATCATCCTGGGCTACATAACACCTTGTCGCTAAAAAATGAAACATCCATCAAATAAAGATTCTGTGTATGTTGAAATTGACCAATATTACAAACATTGTCAAAGCTGTCAATAATGACTTCCTTTCTGAGTGTTCTGAGCTAATTAGTGCTAGGGAGAGAGCTCAGTGGGTAAGCGTCTTGCTGTACAGCATTAAGAGTTGGGGTGTACACTTCTAATCTCGGCCCTGTGGAGGTGGAGACAGGAAGATCTCAAGACTCGTTGGCCAGGCAGTCCAGCTTAGTTGGTGGCCCCAAGTCAGTGAGAGAATAGATGATATTCATGAGGATGTCTACTGAACTTGTCCTCTGTCATCCACACTCACATGTGCGTATGTACACACACACACACACACACACACACACACACACACACATGCATACTCAGAGAGAGAGGCAGAGAGAGAGAGAATTACAAATGTGCAAAGAAATTACAAATGTCTTTAAGATTACTGAATTTAGGAGAGACTAGAGTTTCAGTAGTGGATTCTTAAATCTTGCCCCAAAGAGATCATAATATTTGTGACTCACCTCCCCCACAAAAAAGTAACTGTACCACTAATCAAAATAGGGAATGTTTTTTGAAACATTGATTGGTGTAAGATTTGGAACTGAAGAGTAAAATATTTTGGACTTGAGGTTATTGGGGCATCGAAATAGAAATATCTGAAGAAGACCCACAATCAGGGTATTAATTTTACTTAATGTTTACTTAGCTTTCATAGTTTGATTCTGTGATCACATAGCATCTCTGAATGTCACAGAGATAAATAAAATACCACATTTTGTCTTTGGACTTCCAGTTACTGGGCAGGAAAAAGAAGAAAAGTACCCAGAGGGAGGGTGCAGCTCAGTCGGCAGAAGCGTGGATGAAGCCCTCCCTGTCTTTGAATGCTGGCACCTCCTAAGCCAGCCGTGTGCTGCACGGTGCATGTGCTGCAAGAGGAGCACAAGTTCAAAGTCAGCCTTGGCTACATGTCAGATTTGAGCTAGCCTTAGGATAGGAAACTCTCTCAAAATAAATAAATAATTTTTTTCCTGTATTTGATATTAAAATAATTTTTGTGTTCCTTTGTAGCCACCTTTCAACGGTTTTGGGAAACAAGTTTGATCACGGCGCTGAAGCCATTGTACCTACACTTTTTAATCTTGTTCCCAATAGTGCAAAAGTCATGGCAACTTCTGGATGTGCAGCAATCAGATTTATTATTCGGGTAGGTTTCTCACAAACCCCTCCCCATCCATGTACTTAATTAAGTCATATTATTATTCTTTTTACCTCTCAAAGAAAGAAAATTACTTCAGAATTAATTTTCTGGTAATAAAAGCCATTCAGAGTTAATATGGCGCATGTAAGTAATGCAAAAGCCTGCAAAATATACCCATTTGAATAGGGAACATAACATCATTCATCTGTGTAGGTGTATGCATGCACTTGTGTATGTAATCACAGATGTTGCAGGTAGTGATGAAAGCAGCAAACACATTCTTAATATGGGCTGCTATATACGTAGAGATTTTGACCAAATTAATGATGTTACAATTTCATAAAATACCAGAAATGAAGTGCTTAATAACTAAATCAGGAATGAGAAAAATGCCAGACCAAAGGTGACACAGATCCATGCTTACATTCTGTATCTGTAATGAGCATTTTAGTGTACTTCACTAAAGAAAAGCACTAAGAATTAGGAGTTGGAGGGCAGTATCTATTGCTTACTTGAATCTAAGAGCTTTGTGATTCAGCCAGAATGAAAGTTCTATTAAAAATCACCATTTCACAGTGCATTGTATCACAGTCGTCAAGAGTGTGAGTGTAATATGATCTCAGTGACATGCAGTTACTATTTCTGTACATATACACACCCCTATTTTGACCTAACAGCTCTTCTTGGGCATGTGAACAATGTCTTCCTTATGTATTGGTGACATCACAGCTATCTCTTGAAAACTACCCATCATTTCACTCTGATTAGGGGGAATTTAGGTTTCTATAGATCTGATTTGCAGTTGTTTTTCACCCCCTGGCTATTCCATAGCTAAGCCCTTGAGTATAAGACACACACAGGCACTGTGATGTGCACAGTGTTTTCATGCTTTTTTAAATTATCTTTTTCAGCATACCCATGTCCCTAGACTTATACCTTTAATAACAAGCAACTGCACGTCAAAATCAGTTCCTGTGAGGAGGTAAGTTGTAGAGGAAAAGGTTTTTAGTATAAATTTTACTATTCAGTAATACATTTAATTCTTAGTTTAGTGTAACAATTAGCTATAACTTCTTAAAATTACCCTTTTCCATTAAAACAGTGATATAATTTTTCAAATTTGTTTACCTTTACTATGTGAATATATGCGCGCACACGCACGCACGCACTCACACACATTATTGTACTTTCGTGGAGATCAGAAGAAAACTTCAAAACTCAGTTCTTTTTTTTAACCATGTGGATCCTGGGGCTCAGAATCAGGTCACAAGGCTGGTAGTGAGCACCCTTAGTTGTCCAGCCATTTCTCTAGCCCGTGATACAAGCTTTTTACCACATTTAAGGGAAGGGGGATAAAGCAACTGCTGTGAGCACTCGGGTTTCTCAGATTTATCACTTTGCTGTTGTTTATTTATTCGCTGACTGCCTTGTTCTTCAGAGTATAGAGTTAGGCATAGCTAGAATTCTACAACTGCCCCTCTTGTATATCTCAGTGCATATGTAAATTATGGGACTAATGAGTTCACCCCGTAGACTGCAGATGAAACATTTAAGAGTTTCTGATTTTGTGTGTATAAGACAGTAAGTAGGGGCTGGAGAGATGGCTCAGTGGTTAAGAGCACTGACTGCTCTTCCAGAGGTCCTGAGTTCAATTCCCAGCAACCACATGGTGGCTCATAACCACCTGCAATGAGATCTGGTGCCCTCTTCTGGCCTGCAAGGACACATGCAGGCAGAACACTGTATACATAATAAATAAATTAAAAGAAAAAAAAGACAGTAAGTAGATAAATTAAGTCTGTTAGTCTCTCTTTCTCTTTATGATTTCTGGAAAAAAAGAGCATTCGTTTATTTTGAGAAAAGGTGTTGAAGTATTGCCAAGCTGGCCTTGAGCCTGTGATTGTTCTGGCTTCGGTTGTCAAGTGCTGAGATCTCAGGAGTGCACCATCACACCTAGCTTGATTTCTTCAAAACTTACTGCCATCAGCGATGAAGACCTATGGAAGGCTAATGATGTAGTTCAGTGGTAGAGCACTTGCCTCACACTCAAGAGTCAAGGCCACAGCAAATACAAGGACAGTAGATATCTATATATATAGAGAGATATATCTTTATGCCCAGTATTTGTGCATAGAATGTTGGAGAGCAATACATTTTGCCTAGTGTTTTGTCACTGGACAAAGGCTGAATAAGGCATCAGGTTCTTTACGTGATTTACAATTTTTAGACCAGTGAATCTAGTCAGCTCTTTGAAATCTCAGCAGTTGGAAAATAACACTCCATAGGTAAATCTGACTAACAGCCCATTTTTCTGAAACCTCCAAATGAAGAACAGAATGGCTGAAGTTGAGAATTAAAGGGCTTAGAAGAAAACACATATGAATTTGCTTTAAAATCCTAATTGCACATAGTTAAGTAGAAGCAAAAGTTCTAGACTGTCATGTACTTAGTGGCAGTCATTGTATATTTCATTCTGTGTGTATGATGTATGTTGGGGCTGCATAGCACATTTGAAAGTCAGAGGACTACTTTGTAGAGTCATGATTGCCTGCGAAGCCATCTCTCTGGGTGCTATCATAAATGTTTAATACTTAATGAACATTTTGAAATTAAATTATAGGTCTCAAAAGTCTCTTTAAGCTATCTTACATAGTAATAGTTAAGTCCTTTAGATCAGTTTTTTTCTGATTAAGGTAATCTGAAAATATGTCTTGTATGTTTAATTCAGAGGCAAAATGAAGTATTTTGAAAGAAAGTATGAATGTGTTTCTCAGTATGTTTAATTGTAATTTAATGTTTGTTTTTCAGGCGTTCCTTTGAATTTTTAGATCTGTTGCTGCAAGAGTGGCAGACTCATTCACTGGAAAGGTAGGCACCCAAAACACACACACACACACACACACACACACACACACACACAGTTTTATTCCCCTTCCAGAAGGCAGTATTTTACAGTTTCTCATTTTGTCTTGAGATATTTGTCCTTGTCTTTCTTCCTTAGAGCTATGATGCTGTTTTCCTCCTGTGCATACAGTTGTGAATAGTGTGCGTTTTGGTGGGTTGGGTGATGGTCCCTCAGAATAGGTTATTTAACATCCTCCATTTGGAATTGGAAAAACATTTTTAAAATGCACTATGTGAGGTAGGTTTCTTAAATTGTAATCTTTCATGTAGTGACTGGTTTGTCAGAGGGAAGAAAGGGGCCCCCTGTTTGAAAGAGATTTTTTTTTTAAAGAGGAATTGAGATGAAGGAAAGTGTGAACAGCTAGTTAGCTCTGTACAGGGCTGTGTAAGTACTGTTTCATGCTGCTTTTAAGTTTTTAAGCATCAGAAATAACCTGCATTTTTATTGAGTATATTGCTGATTTCTATTTTAATAGAATCACAGTTCTTTTATTTTTTTTTAAGAATTTTTTGAAAAATTGTATGTGTAGGTATGTCCATGGGAGTATGGGTACCCTAGGAAACCAAAGGTGTCAGATCCCCAGAGTCTAGAGTTATAGTCAGCTATAAGCTGCTTGATGTGGGTGTTGGGGATCAAACCACAGTCGCCTGTAAGAATAGTATGTACTCCTAACAGTTAAGCCATCTCTACAGCCCATACAGGTTTCTTTGTTTGTTTGTTTTTTAATAGAATTTTTTTCCATAGGCATAAAGTAATTCAAAGTTTTTTCTAAAGTTTTTGTTTGTTTGTTTATTTGTGGCAACTCTTTATATATTGGTTACATCAGTCGTTCTCAGCCTGTGGGTTGCAACCCCTTTACGGGTTGAAGGAACCTTTCACAGGTGTCACATGTCAGATATCCAGCACATCAGAGATATACATTACAATTTATAACAGTAGCAAAATTTCAGTTATGAAGTAGCAGTGAAAATAATTTTGTGATTGGGGGCTCACCACAACATGAAGAAGTGTATTAAAGGGTCACAGCATTAAGAAAGTTGAGAGAACCACTGGGCTAGATCATCCTTGTAGCAAATAACTTTTTACAGTTGTGGGATCGTGAAGAGCCAACCATATGGTTATTTCCCACCCCTAAATTTATAATAAGTTTTAAATTTAAATAGTGCATATTTATTTACTTGTTGTTAGGATTCTATAAAGATAATTATTTTCAGATTTTTACTCTCTGAATTATCAGGAGGAAACAATATATGGGTGAGATGTGTAGGGCAAATTGTTAGAAACTCCTATAATCTTAGAGCAGGCCATATCTGTCGTCCCACCCAGTTGAAGTCTGGGGAGATAGAATGTAAATCAAGTTGGCTCAGGCTGCATAGAAAGACTCCATCTCAGAAAGAAAAGAAAAAGAGAGAGAAAAAGACATTAGGTATTGTATTACACACTTGTAATCTCAGCACTCTGGAGGCTGATATAGGAAGATTGTTTTGAGTTCAAGACCATCCTAGGCTGTGTAGCAACACTCTGCCTTTAAAAAAGTAAAGAAAATGCTACAATCTTAATTACTTTAATAATAAATCTTCCACTTTTCCCCTCCTTTGGGGTAGATGTGTACCATGTAGGAATTGCTATTGTTTGTGGTGAAATACAGTATTAAGTATTAACATAAAGGTACATTTGTTGTATAGACATGCAGCTGTCTTGGTTGAAACTATTAAGAAGGGAATTCATGATGCTGATGCTGAGGCCAGAGTGGAGGCAAGAAAGTAAGTCTGTACTATATTTTTGTGAAAACTCAATTCAACATGCTTTGAGGTATTTTGTTGTTGTTCATAATGAATTACATCGAGAGATGATATCACCAGTATCTGAATTACTCTGTTTGACTAACTCTCCATCAAAATTGAAATGCATTTTATCCACTAACTCTGTGCTAGACATAGAACAACTGACTTCAGTTGTCATCTGTGCAGTCGCCGTTGTTCTCATTCCGTCAGAGGGTATTCACTTTCGTTGTCAATAAGGCAACTGCATGTACTGGGTAGGTATTATGCACCTAACATTAAGTAAGACTCTTGGTTACCACCACCACCACCACCACCACTACCACCACCACCACCACCACCCCACACACACTTTTTGAGACAGGTTCTCACTTTGTATCTCTGGCTGACCTGAAATTTACTATGTAAACCAGGCTGGCCTTGAACTCACAGAGATCCGCCTGCCTCTGCCTTCTGAGTGCGAAGATTGAAGGCGTGCACCACCACAGCTGGCTTATTTTTAACTTTTTAATACTGAAGAAAGTCCTGCAAAAATGGTACTGTCTCCATTGATGCCTCTGAACTCTGAGATTGGGTGTTCACTTAGGGCTACATGAACCATGAATGGCATAACTGGGCTGTGAACTGAGGTTTGCTTTTTCAAAAACCTGCAATTTTCCCCCTGGAATTCACTCAGTTTACATAGTTTTCACCTGACACAGTAAGTTTGTGTTCCTCCAGTCATGACAAACTGTTACTGATGGTCTTTTCTTTCCTTTACAGGACATACATGGGTCTTAGAAACCACTTTCCTGGTGAAGCTGAAACGTTATATAATTCCCTTGAGCCGTCGTATCAGAAAAGCCTTCAAACTTACCTAAAGAGTTCTGGCAGTGTAGCATCTCTTCCACAGTCAGACAGGTCCTCATCCAGCTCACAAGAGAGTCTCAAGTAAGGCCATGCACTGGTAGTTCTGGGTAGTCCTCTCTCCAGCTCCTTCAGTCGGAGAGTTCGCATCTACTAAGACCTTGAAAAAATGGGGATTGGGTTTTACTTAATTTCTTTGGGCTACTGTTGGTGTTGGACCATATACTAGTTTAACTATTCTTTGAGTTTTCTTTTAAGAATTTAATGATTCACATTTTGTTTCTATATGTTCATGTTTGGGAACACTTGACTTCTGTGCATTTCTTTATACCATAAAATAATTGATGCAGTGAGTAGTGCATTTCCAGGACATGACATTGGAGGAATCGCATGAGACAGGATCTGGTGGGCCAAGCTGCCTGTTATGCTAGGAATAACCACACTGTCTCTTCTATGTGACGTTCTTTAGGATGCAAGTGATTGGTAGTGCTAACATTGAGTTGTCTATGTGCTAATACATGAATAAAGTAACCTGGTCTCTCTCTTTTTCATTGTCAATTACTTTGCTTTATAGCTATTCTTGAAAACAACTGTTTTTAAAGGAAGATTTCTCAACTTTCTTGACAGCCGCTGTTTCATTCTTATTATAATGATCAGTTAAGTCTTGCTACTAAAAGCATTTCTTTTTACCTTGCAGTCGTCCTTTTTCTTCTAAATGGTCTACAGCGAATCCATCAACTGTGGCTGGAAGAGGTAATTGCTTCTTTGAGTAAGACTTATAGCCTATTTTGTCTATAAGCAGTAGCCTTTAAACTGCTTTGATGTGATCTACAGTGAGGAAATATTTTCATAACCCAGGGTCACACATGCATGCACACTTACTGTAACTCTGTATGCTGTGTATAAGCTGAAGCTTTGGGAGGCAGTTCTTGCCTAGCCTTTTGTGAGGTTTCCTGTTCTGTTTCGTTTCTTTAAAATGCTCATTAGGACCCACTCAGTTGATTTCACAACCATTAACAAGTCATAGCTCATAGTATGTTAAAACTCCTTTTAAGAACTGAAACTAAATTTCAGAATTTTTTTTTTTTTTTAATTTCAGAAGTTTAATGACTTGGCACACACTTTCCAAGAGTAACAAAGCTACATTAATTTTTCAATATTGCTATTTCTAGAGTAACTTTTCTTGCATTTTCTAGTCATCTAGAATAATAATGCTGTCATGTGTTTTAGTGTTTCATTTTCCCAAAACTGTCCTAAATGTCACCTCTTCAGATACCAAAACAGACCTGTCAATTTTATAATCAAAATTCACCATTTTCCCATGAAAGAAAAATGAAGCAAAGAACTACTCAAAATTGCTAAAGAAAACTTTGTTGTATCATAACTGACCGAGGCATTTTGACTTTAAAGTGACATTACAGAGCTATCCATTTGGCCACTGCTGCCGTGTGGATCCTGTGTGGCCGTAGATGATTAGCACAGGATAGTTTAAAGTACTTGTGTCGTCATTTTGTTGGCAGCAATATAAGTAACACCGGCTACTTTGTTTTCTGTAGTATCGGTGGGAGGCAGCAAAGCCAGCTCCCTTCCAGGAAGCCTGCAGCGTTCTCGAAGTGACATTGATGTGAACGCCGCAGCTGGTGCCAAAGCGCATCATGCCGCTGGACAAGCTGTACGAAGTGGGCGCTTAGGCGCAGGTGCCCTGAATCCAGGTTCCTATGCATCACTTGGTAAGACAGCCATTTGCATTCTTCCCCTGGTCTCAGTGAAGAGAAAATGATACGTCACACCCATTTCTAGTTCATTCTTGCTTGTTAAGGGATGAACCATGGACCTGTCAGCCACCTTGTTTCTGCTCTTCTCCATTGTCTTCCTCCTCATCTTGATCAAACATTGTTCTTGACTCCATGATTGCTATAGGATTTTCCTAACTGCACTGATGACACACCTACCCACTGTTACCAAGCGAAGGCACTGGCTTTGTAATCAGTTTCTCTGGTTTCTTGATCTTGCTTCTATTCCTTTACCTTTGGTGATAAGGAGAACTTCAGAGTCTGTGTCTAATCAAAGCTTAGACATACATTCCAAATGCTGTTTGGAATTGGGTTTTTGTTTTTTTTGTGTTTTTTTTTCTCTATGTTTTCGTATCTATCAGGTTAAGTTTTAGGGCTGTTTATCCATGTTGTGTCTCTGTTGTATACTTCTTTGTTGCTTACTGTTGTAGTGCTGGAACATTAAGCAGATAAGTTACTGGCATACAGTAAAGAGCATGGAGATTTGGGACATGCGTTTGTGTGTGCTAGAATGGCGCTGTTGCAGAGTGATGAAGTAAGGCTAGATTACTCAGTGCATGGTGTTGAGATGTGTATTTCACAATTTTTTAAGTATAAGTTATAACCTATTACACACAGTGTTCCAATACATTCCAGATGACCAGAATCTTCAATAAAACTGTAAGACAACTGTTGAAAATGGAACAGATAAGAATTCATCTAATCTCACGTCACAGAAAAAAAAAATGTGTAAATATAAAAACAACTGTGGTGAAAAGTCTTAGATTTAAGTCTAATGTGAAAATATAAAATCAAGTAGCTGTGAGACAATTTTTGTCACCTTCCACAAATAAAAAAAAAAAGATGGCATTGTTTTCCAAGTCGGATACAGATGTGCTTACATAGATCATAAAAATAAAAGACACATAACAGCTGCCTATAAACACCAGAACAAATGTTGGGTTTTGACCATGGTCAAACAAGTTAAAAGACCTATAAATATAAAGGAAAGTTTAGTAAAATGCCCACTGTTGATGAGAATGTGTTGACCAGGGCCTTATTGAAAACAGGGCTGAAGTGAATTAAATGATGGTACACTATTTTCTAAATGGAAATTTAGTGCATGAAGCCTCTTTAAATGTTGAGTTTAGATCGAGGGCCATCTAGTTGGCTTAGTAAGTAAAGGCAACTGCTGCCAAACCTGATGAACTGAGTTTAACCATCAAGACTCACAGGTAGGAGAGAACTTACTACTATAAATTGTCCTCTGACCTCCATATGTGTTCCATAGCACCCACTCGTAATATAATAATTAATAATAATAATAACTTACAAAGTTTTGACACAATAATCTAGTATTTAAATAATCACACCAAAAAATAAAAACCAACCTTCCACTCCAGAACTTGGTCTGTTGTTTTATGCCCTCATAATCTGATTGTCTTTGGAATTCAGACATTCCCATTACTCTACCTGTGCATTGTTTGCTAAAATGATCTTAGGCTATTTTTAGCAATATAATAATTATGGTGTGGTGTTCTGATGATACACATGGTCTCCATGCTACTCATGTTCCTGATTGCAGACGTCTGGATAGAGATGGTGTTTAGAAAGAATGTGACACTCCTAAGATCCATGGAAAGTACTGGAAACTCTAGGCTCTGTTTGTTTGTTTTTTTTTTATTTTTGTTGTTTAGAGTGGGGAGTAGATCCCCTTGAGGTGTAGAGACTAAACTGGCCTCTACCTCAACAAAGCTGTGAGGGTTGGGATGGAGGGTTCTGTCAACCTAATGGAATAAATGAAATAAAAAGTAGTTACCTTTAAAAAAAAAAAAAAGAGGTGGAAGAGGGAGGAGGAATCAAAACAAACCAAAAACTAGGTATGTTGGTGTATGCCAGCCGGGGCTGCATAGGAAGACACTGTTTCAATAAAATAAAAGGACGTCAGAACACGGCTGGGGCCTGGGCAGCAACTCGGGAGGCAGAGGCAGGTGGATCTCTGTGAGTCCGAGGCCAGCCTGGGCTACAGAGCAAGATCCAGGACAGGCACCAAAACAACACAGAGAAACCCTGTCTCGAAAAACACCCCCCAAAAAAACCAAAACCAAAATACAAAAACATGGCTGGGAGGATTTCTCTCAATGGATAAAGCACTTGCTACACAAGCTTGAGGATCTGAGTTCAGATCTTAGCACCTCTCTAAAGCTGGGCATGGCAGAACACACCTTACCTCTGTCCCCGAGCAACCCTGTACACTTGTGACTGGTAGGCTCTGCTTTCTTCTACATTGAGCCTTGTTTGTCATGGATGAACATAGAAGGAGTATGTCATTCTTTTCCAGCAAACACTTCCTGCATTTAATTTTTAACAAGGCTTCTGACAGGTCCTGAGGATCTGGTAGTTCTGCATTCAGATTTTCAGTCTGTTCATATGTTGGTGAGAAATAAGAGGCTAAAAAGGAGGTTTGTTGACTGTCCTGCGTTTTTGAGTTGAGGTTGCTGTATGGCCAAGTGTTTTAAGAAATGAACAGTTGGGGTCAAATGGGTATAGAAAGAAAGAGTCACATTAAGTTCCATACCGTCTTCAGTCAGTTGCCACTGGTTAATTTGCTTTTGTTTTCTCTAAAGCACTGAATTGTTGGCAGAAAGGTCGCTTGAGTGTTTTGATATTTACCTGTTCACTTCTGCAAAGGAAGCTTGGTGTCATACAAGATGGTCAGGATGTGTGTGTGTGTGTGTGTGTGTGTGTGTGTGTGTGTGTGTGTGTGTGTGTGTGTTTATATTGGAGGTATAGCTCATGATAAATACTTACCTAACATGCATGCATATTTTTATACATATTCTCAATAAAGCATTTATGGAATTGCCTGAATGGAAAAGAAAACAAGTAGTTTTGGTAAGGTCATTTGGAGAAAAGTGAATTTTCAGTTGGTTGTGGAAGAAGTTGGTACTGAACCTGTAAATTATTCCCATGCTTGATGGACAAGGAAAAGGGTGGAAGAGCTCTGAAGCTCCTCCTCTTCCTCCTCCTCCTCCTCCTCCCCTCCTCCTCCCCTCCTCCTCCTCCTTTTAAAAAGATTTTTGGAGTTGGTGCAGGTTCTGTGAAAGCTGTGAGGAATGGGATGTAGGTAGCAGGGCTGGGAGGCAGCCTTGCTCTGGAAGGCAACAGTTTCATGGAGCCGGAAGAGAAGGAAGTGGAGGGAGTGGTAGTTTCAGACATGGTATTTGCAGCAGCAGGTGGGTATTAAGAAGAGTGTCATTGGAAGATTGTAATTTTCTGCCTGGGAATTCTTGGTCCAAGAAATGACTTTAGGTTTTGAACAATCACTGAGTGGGGTACAAGAGGACGGACATTTTTGGACTTGGCATAACTACCATACATTTGGGTCTCATGGCTGAATTTTATTAGAGTGGAAAGCAGAACCAGTAGGGAGAAAGCCTTGTCCAGTCATCTGGGTGTCCAATGTATGCTTTGTAGTTATTACTCTAGGGCTGGGTTTAGGAAGACACCTTCCTCTGGCATGAATGCTGCAACATGTCAACCAGCGTTTCTGCCAGAGAAGCTCTTTAAGACTTCTAGTCCAGGGTGGGGTAGGGAGAGGGGCTGGTCATATTGGCTTTGCCTGCTCAGCAAGCCACAATTATCAGAATTCCAGACACCCAGAAGAAAGTGGGTGCTTGCCACAAATCATACTGTTTGAAAATGGTCCAGGCAGACTGCGGTGCCTCCGCTGTCACTCAGCCTTGTTACTATGGGGGCATTCAGAGCTGAGTTAGTGGAGGCCAGCCTCACACCCAGGACTTGCGGAAGAGCAGCAGCACCCAAGCATGGTGATGTATACCCTCGACTGCAGGGAGACTGGAACAAAAGGATTGTGACCCCAGGCCTTAAAAACAAGAGTATTGTTGGTCCTACTATGTTAATTCTTTCTTGTGCCAGATATTAAAGGCCAGGTCTTCAGTAGTACCATCTGACCATGTGGCTGTGTGATTTTTCTCTATGAACTCATGGAATAGAGACAGAGAGTTCTTAGATTTATCCATGTGTGATTATAGGAGCTGAAAGTTCAAAGAAAAGATGGGATTTGGGAGCAGCCAGATGGCAAACTGAGCCTGTACAGTAAATTGTTGTCTTTAAAAAAAAGGGGTGGGGGTTGTAACATCTTTTCCCTAATATACTAAGTTTTCCTCTGTTCTTTGCTTGCTCTTTCTTCAAAGAGGATACTTCTGACAAGATGGATGGTAAGAGTTACTTTTATAATTCTTTTCCACATTTCTATTGGGTCCTTGTTTATTCTTTTATAATCTTCTGAAAATATGCTACTTATCATGAATTTTAATGTAGAAATGGCTACATGACTCAATGGTTGAATTTTGGGTTGCTGATACCCATTTTTTATCTCCTTGTACTTTTTTTGCAACTTAAGTCAGTTTCCTAAAATATTTCTCATGAACTCTGAAAAATGGGACTCAGTATATTTTTAATTTCTTATTTTCTTTTACAATACTGGATTCAGAGGAAGGAAAGGGCTTTGATAAGTCTTTTTCTTTAACATGTGAGACATTTAATTAAAACTGAAGTTTAAACTTTGCTTTTTAAATTCTAATATTACAATTATTGCAGTTTGTCTAGAGTTGCTTTGGTTTAGTAACAGATCTGTACAGTGTTCTGTGTGACACTGGAGAGACATCACCACAACTTTCTCCTCACTCTGTCAGGGCCTAGTAGTGTTAGCTGGGAGTCTGAGCTTTCTTAGAAAACTGGTAAAAAGATGCTAAAACAAGACACTTTTTCTATTAATTGTTACATAGACTCTACAAATTGACCTCAATTTTTTTCTATTTTAATGAAATGGAAGCATTATTTAGTCTCATATTGCCAACATGATTATTATTTTTAGTATCTCTATTTTAAAGTATGTCATAATTAAAAAGGTTTGAATGAAATGACAGCCATCAGGAGGGGATCTCTCTCTCTCTCTCTCTCTCTCTCTCTCTCTCTCTCTGATGTACTCAAACCTTGATATTGCTGGAGTATTTAGAAAATCTATCACTTCCCAATCAAAGTATTTCTTTTGTCTGGGTCAGAATCAGCAGCCTTTTTGAGGTATCACTGATGGTGTGTCACTGACCTTTAGTAGTAGTGAGTTCTGATGTGTGTACTAGGTCATTTTCAGCAGATTTCACACATGTTGTAAGTAATTCTGTTGAGTAAATAGCTGAGGACTTTGAATTTGCATGTGCTTTGATGAAAAAATTAGGCAGATGAAACCTAGGTCATGGATTTGATTTCTATACTAGCCAATTGTTTGTTTTTTTTTTTCTAGTTCCATTATGGGTTTACCTTTTGAAAATGAACAGAAAAGATTTCTGCTTTAGAAAAGTCTATATAAATTTTTATTTGCAAGGAAAAGTAATTAAAGAGTTAAATTGTTTTTAAGTAATTAATTTCTCGGATTTCTTCCACCCTTTTAAAATTTAAGAATGAAATAAAGAAGTGTTCACAAAGAATTTTGCTATTTTTAGTTGTCTGGTTTTAAGTTTTTTGGTGTGAGCTGTGAATCAAATTCTATCAGATTATTTTTTTCTCATTTGAATGTTTTCAAGGCTATAGCATATCTAACTACAAGTTATACTCTGCTTTTACCTTTTCTCATGAATCTTGGGGGAGGGGATTACCAGGTAGCATTTTCAGAATTTGTTGAAATCCTGTTTTATTTCTCTTATTTAGGAACAGCATCTGAAGATGGTAAGAAGTAAATATTTTGTTAGTAACACAAATACCTCTACCACACTGTTTTCATTGGTAGGACTTAAACTAAACAGGCTAATTTATCTACAGACCTTTGTCATTTACCAGCTGTGACAGCTTCTACATTCCACATTTGGTTGTGTTCATTGTCTGTGAATTTTTTTCTAATTCTTCATCATGCAGTTTTGCTTTATATCTTGGATCATCTCATGCTGAAAAACATAATTGCTTAACATGTTTAATAATATCTTGTATATAATTTCATTTTTTCCAGTAACGACAATAGAAATACTTTTCTTTTATTTTTGCTTTTAAAAAGGTTAATGCCAATTCATTTCTGCTTTGTAGGAATTCTGCTTTATCATTGGACATCAAATACTTTTATTCCATCTATTTTGAAATGTATCTTGATTTTTTTAATCAGTGACTAGGTAATTGGTCCCTGATTCAAATTGAGTTTGAGAATATAACTAGTTGCTGCATATACTTTCCTGAGTCAGTTCACCTTCAAAAAATATTTATTCCTTCTGAATTTGTAAAAATGAAGTCAATTTTTTTATTTATCTTTCCTAAAGGCTTTCTCATTAAAGCCTTTTGTTTTGAACATGATGTTTTTTTCTCTAAGTTTGACATGAATGACTATTAACTGTGTGGTGTGCTTAAAATAGTTTTCTGTTTTAAGTTTAAATTGGAGTACTCTAAAAATGTGAATTCTGATACTGAAAATGAATGGCAGCTTACTTCAGCACTTTTTAATTGAAAGCAGTAGTATGTGGCTAGAACGTGGATGACTTCTTTATTCAGAAATAATCACTAGGTCTCTCTGCACTACTCTTCAGTTATGAGGACATTCTGTCCCGCCCAGAGCAGACTCCTAAAGCCTGAGAGACCTGCAGTGTGGGCTCCCAGGGCCTTGCAGTTGACAGCTCTCAGACTGTGCCCACGAGACTCCTCCCACTCTTCTGACCTCACCCAGTCCTTCATTTTTAAGTCCTGCTCTTCAGTATGTTCTTTTCTAATCAATGTGGTTATATTGCACTAGTCAGAATTTTGGAATTTCCTACAAATTGTACCTCTTATTTAAAAGATTCTAAACACTTTGTATTTTTAACTGTGTTCATCATCAGTGTGGGTCTGTTGGAGACTTGCTGGAGAGCACCAAAGTGCCTAGCAGTGAAGATTTGACTGCCACTGGTTCTTCCTGCTGGCAGCTTACACAGATAGCTTGATGAACTTAATTTCTTTAGTTCAAGAGCTCTAGAAATAGCCAGGTGGGGTGACGCATGTCTTTAATCATGCAGATCTCAGTGAATTTCAGGCCAGCATGATCTACATAGTGAGTTCTAACAGGACCAGAGACCCTGTCCGCTCTCCCTTCCCCCAAAACCTCTCGAAATACAGTGAGGGTATTTGTAGTCTGGTTTTACAGAGGGCATGAGGTGGAGGTAATCTAGGAAGAAAAGGAGATGAAGTGCCAGCTCTCTGCGATACATACTCTCCTTCCTAAATTCCTCCTAGGAAAACTGTTTGTCAAGAGAAAAGAGGGAGCACATCCCTGTGTACCTGTGGCCGTCTGATCTAAAAAGATAACTTGGCTGTGGCATCTCTTCTGCAGAACTCTTTAGAAGTACACTGTCAGTTAAAAAGATTGCTTGGAGTTGTTTAGAGCTATGGGGCATTTTTGAGAACAATCTCATTCCCTAGAAACTGAAAATTTGGGAAGGGTTGTTTTGCTTTTTTGTTTTTGTCTTATGAGTGTCTCACTGTGTAAACCATGCTATCCTTGAACTCAAAAAAGAGATCCACCTGCCTCTGCCTCCTAAGTGCTGGGATTAAAGTTGTGTACTACCACGTCCAGCATAATTAGTTATAACCACTACATTAGTAATACCAAACTAAGGATGAAAGTCTTCTGTAGTTTGAGTTGATTCTTACATAGAACGAACATGTATAAAGCAGTATGTACCTGGGCTTGCTGATATACAGGCTGTAGTCCCAGATACTTGGAAGCTAAGGCAGAAGAATCTAAGCCAAGGAATTCCAGATAAGCCTAGATGAAATGCCATCTCAGACCCTAAACTGTGTACTTTTACATTTTTTAAAAGAATCTGTGTAAAAGAAAGATTTTCTTTTAATGATATATTTATTTGCATTGGTGCATTTGTGTAAAGGTGATGAATCCCCTGGAATTGGAATTTGTGAGCTACTATGTGGGTACTGGGAATTGAACCCCGGACCTCTGGAAGAAGAGCCAGTGCTCTTAACCACTGAGCCATCTCTCTAGCCCCGTACTTTTACATTTTTAAGAGGTGTATAATATGTAAGTAATGGCTGCCTTATTTCAGAATTTAAAAAAAAAAATACTTGAAAGTAGCGGAGATCCCCCTTCTTCATACTAAATACTATTACAGGAAATATTTTAATTCTGTTCATATTTATCCCTTAGGTCGGGTGAGAGCCAAGCTCTCTGCACCACTTGCTTCTGTGGGGAATGCCAAGACTGATTCTAGAGGAAGAAGCCGGACAAAAATGGTGTCTCAGTCTCAGCGTATGTACTGCTCGTCAGTCTGTCCATGTTGGTCAGTCTGCTAGGGTGAATGTTTCTTTATATTACTGTGTTAGGAGATGAGCAGGGGATAGAGTCAAAGCTGATTTTAAAAGCAACAAGCTACATACTGAGTTCTTGTTCTGTACTTTAGGTTCATCATCACCTGACAAAAATGAAGGTATTTTTTTCACTGTTTCGGGTCAGTTGTTGTGCATGTTTGGGATTTTTTTTTTTGAGTGGGTGTTGTCTTGTGTTTGTATTAGTAGGGCCACATCATTGATCCACCACTTAGAAAGAAACTCTTCATCTTCTATACAGATGTTTGCATGGAGATACTTTAGACACGAATCTTTAAAGTCAAGGTTCACATACTACCCAGAAACTTGCAGGTGTGGAAAATTGTGCCATTAGAGGCAAAATGATTTGTATTCGATAAAATCTGTTTCTATCTAGCAAACACTATGCAAAGAGAGATAAGTAGTGTCTTCTTACTCTCCCCAAAATTTGTTAGATCATCTTAAATTTTGGTCAGTGTTTTGGGCAAGTATATACTGACTTACAGTGAGAGAAAAAATGGGCTGAAATAACCAATTCTAGTAAATTTAATATGAAGTTTGAGATTTATATTCTTACTGTTTCATTGGTCACTGAGTTCCTTAAAAGAACAATTAAAAAGCACAATTTTAGGACTAGGTAAAATGAATCATCTGTTTCTGTATTTTCAAACAAGTAACCCATATATAATGGCATGTTTAACTGGAAGTAATTTCTCCCATTCCCTCTTGACTAAGAGATTGTCCTCAGCACTCTCTCTAAAATCACAGTTTTTCTGAAGAAGTCATGATTAGGGTTCTTCTGTATAACCTAATTAATTATCTCTGAAAAGGATGGGTTTAAAGATGATTGTCAGGTTGTAGATGTCCCGTTTGTTTTATTAGCCTGATTCCTGGATCTTGGGATCAGAGGTAGGGGGTGGGGTGGAGAATAAGGCTCAGAGAGACACTAGGGCCCTTGAGTACATGTCTCACAACACCCTTTTTCCAGCATGAGAATGTCCAGCAGATTAGCATCAGGAGCTTTCCGCAGGAGTCCTAAACTAAGTGGAAAGATTTGGTAGAATTTGTTTTCCAAATGAAGACTACTTATAGACAGCCAGAATGATACATGGTCCTATGTGTCATAGGACAGATCAAAAGTGTATGATAATGCCACATTCTCCTGTGAGTCTGTGAGCTTTTGGAGTGATTCTTAGAGTACATTAATTCGCAATGTAGCCTCTCTTCTCCATGAGTACTGCCCAGACCAACATCAGTACAGCCTGGAAGCTAGTTAGAAATACAGGGTCTCACATACTACCACAGACTATTGAATCTGATCACTGATTGGTCTGTGCTATAGTAAAGTTTGAAGACTTTGAAACTGTAATGCCCAAGGTGGAGTCCTGGCTCTTCTAGGTTAAAGTTACTTTATTCCTCTGTACCTGCCCATAAAAGGAGGAAGATAATAGCATCTATCCCATGAGACGTTCATGAGCATCAAATGATAGAGTATATTTAATGCAGATAAATCTTGAGAGTAACTGCCATGACTATTACCTGATAAGAGTGTCCTTGTTAAGCTGGACAGTTCAGCAAGAGCACTGGCTGCTCTTCCAGAGGACCGGGGTTCAATTCCCAGCACCCGCATGGCAGCTCACAACTGTCTGTAACTCCAGTTCTAGGGGATCCGATACCCTTATACAGAGTCTATATAGGTAAAACACCAGCACACATCAAATAAATAAATAAATTAGCCTTTAAAAAAAAGATAGTCCTTGTTATTATTCATAATAAACTGAAACTCATGTTGCTATTACATATTTCTATACCCTGACATTCTGACTGCCCTCATGAAACAGTCATAAGCACTGAAGTTAGAATGTTTAAAACTTGAAGAGAATCACAAATTGTCCAGACCTAGGGTTTAAGGATAAAACTTAATTGTGAGATAATTTTCTGACTTCTTCACCTTTGTTGGTGCCCTCTTTTTCATTCATTGCAACTTCAGATCACTTATGAAAAATAGAATTATTTTACATTTGACTTGTTAAACCTCATAGGACTTTAAGATCCAAAGACATTCCCACTATAAAATCAGGCAAGTCTTAGATCATATTAGAAAGATTTTATTTGTTGCTTGCTTATTAACTTGAATGAGTATGTGTCCATTTCCGATTCTTTATTAAAAAGATGTGTGATTTGTATGCAAGTTTCTTCACAACGTATTTGTATAGGAGTATTACTGTGACCTCCATCTTCACTTTGTTGTAGTGATTCATGAGGGGTTGCATGGTTTTGTATTCTCATCTAGTGGGGAAAAAAAGAGAGAGAAAGAGAATCTCTTGGATCAAAGCAGGTGTGTTGAGGTTCACCAGAATAAATGAAAGCAGACCTAATGGAGAGACTTGTAGATTTACTTTAAGAAGAACTGTGTCCTCGCTCTGGTGGTGACTGGTGGTGTACAGATGATGTACAGCCTGTCAGTAGCCTTCTCCCTTCCCCCCACCTCTTGCTTTTCTGTGAATCATAAGAAAGATTAAATTCGTAGCTTTTTCATCTCCTTTTTTCTTCAGCTGTAAGATGTGGTATTTTTTCCTATATCTAATTTTCAATTAAATGTTTAAATAACAAAATTGTAAACATTTAACGACTTAGATTTGGGACTTCCCATAATGGACAAGCTGAAGAATGTGCATTGACTTTGCACTTTCATTTCATCTGCTTTGTACATGAGTGTCAGCTGTAAAAACTGTTAAGTGTGCTGCTTTTGTGACAGACATTTGTGCTATGGAATTTTTTTAAAGTTTGCTCTCTTTTTGTGTTAGGTTTTTTTTTTTGTTTGTTTTGTTTTGTTTTTGTTTTTCCTTGAGAACTGACTAAAGCTTTGTTATTTCCATCTGCCACCCATTTTAAAACTGCTCCTCCCCTCTTGGTGGATTATAACCCTTACCCTAATTCTGCCTTTACACTTGTTCAGGATCACAATCTGCTAATACCATTGGTGGTAAGAATCTATAGACTTGATGTGTGCACCTGTTGTTTGCTCACCTGTTTTCATTCACAAGAATGAGGTCTATTCAGCAGAAATTCATATTCGATAATAATCCACCATTCTGTGATTGTACTGAAGCAAAAACTTGTAGTCGTGAGTTCTCTTTGGCCTGTCTTTCTAATATCGTGAAGGCCCTAAAAAATATAAATTATCCAAGTTGACTCTACAGATATAAATAGTAAGAAGAGAGGGACCCAAAGTAACATTTTAAAATTCGGCAACATGAAAAAAATAGTTATCTAACTTCAAGTTTTGCTTCTGGGACATTTCTGTTCCATACTCTTCTCTAGGTTGAGCATGCCCTTTTCTTCAATTCTGGTGACTCTGCTTGAGAAAGAGCCTCAGTATTTAATTTTAGGTATAAATGATTCCCAGTTATACGTGCTGAAAATATCCTAGTCTTCCACGAGAAGAGAGGATATGCTTACATGAAATGAGTATTGCTAACTTCATTCCTTAAGGAGAGGGCATGAGTGTGTTTAAGTATCTAGAGATTGAACTTGCACACTTTTAATCAATTCAGTGAATGCAAAGTAATATTCTTCTAAACTGCATGTTTATGTCTGCTGAATAGACCCACATTTCATGGATTTCTCCAGTACCTCCACCCACACAAATGTATTACTGGTTTTAACAGAATTCATACTGTATGTGCTCAGTTCATTATAGTTTCTATATCATTGCGAGTTTTCTCATAACTTCCATTGGCCTCGCTTGCATTGTGAGTTTGTGGCATGTTGGGTGTTTGGGTGTTTTTGTGTGTATGTTTAGTTTAGATATTGCATGGAGAAAACAGATGCCTCAGATATCCTTCAAAGGAGAAAGAAACCAGATTTGAAGATTCTTCACCTGCAACATCATGAAACTTTTGAGTGAACAATCATTTTAAAGTAGACGAATAATTTCCCTATAATTTAGAAATCTTCTACTCAATAAGTAAATTTTTATTGTCACAGGAAGCACTGCTTTTTCATTTATAATATTGCTATCCCCATTGGAATATATTTTTTGTATGTGTGTGCTAATGACATTTAAGAACTAACCAAGAATATGAACTGGACTAAGTAAACCATGCCCAGAAAACATAACAATAAGGATCCCAGCAGAGCACATCCAGTTTGTTCATATTTGTTAGCCCGCATAGAGGAGCACAATCAGGAGCTTTTAAAGCTTTGTTTTTGAAAGTTCCCAAGAACTCATTCAAGTTACTTTAAGACAGCTCGCTGTAATTTAAAATGGTACCCTCTCTAAGGATGCGACAGTCCTCTGAAGTGCCTGCCTTGTACATGGTGCCCTTTTGACAGCCAGTGCTCATTCCCATTGGCATTTGACTCTTTAATCTGTGATTGGAAATGAGACACAATTGAGTAAGATTGTGCAGTATGATCAGTAACTTACAGTGTAGTAAATGTGGGTAGCAAAGAGAAAACGTTTCCCCTGAAGATTTGTTTAAATGCAAGTTTAACTTTTCTATACTATTACCATTCAGTTAGATTGTATCTTTGAGATGTCTGATCCATTTTTTTATTCAGTATACACATAAAGCACTTCAACCAAGTCATGCCCCTTAAAAAAGGTAGCCCATGTGTTTCTAGTTTAAAAGTGGGTTTCTTCCCGAGTATGGTTGTACATGCCTACAATCCTAGCACTTAGCGGGTAAAAGCAAGAAGATTGCTTCAAATTCTAGACCAACCTAAAATAAATAGTCAAGAATGCCCTATCTAAAATGCATCTCAATGCTGCTTATCCATACCCAGATCTCTGGGAGTTTTTCTGGCTCTCCCTCTCTATCTCCCTGACTACATCTCTGACTTCTTTGGCAATTCCCTGGGAGTTCTGGTCTACTCTTAGTACTTGTGTGTCCTAGAATGTGACCAACCAAGGGCTCTCTGCTTTCAAATAGCAAAAACAAAATTTTCTTTCTCAGCTGGCCCAGTTTTGTCAACATTTAATTTAAATTTAGTGCTTTTACTTATTCTTGGATAATTTCATACATTGTATACTATGTATCATGGTCATACAGTTTCCTCTACCTTTATTCCCAATCCCTTTATCTTCCCCCTCCACCTTCATGTCCTTTTAAAAAAACATAAATAAATAACTGGCTGAGTCCTATGAATGCTACCAGCATGTATGTGTGAGGAGGTGACCTGCTAGGGTCCACACCATGGGAAAAGGAAAGGGACTCTCCCTTCCCCAGTAGCCATCAACTGCCGAAAGCTCTTCAGGTGTGGGTGGGGCCTCCTGAGCCCTTCCTCCGTTGGTGCTGAACAATTAACTGGATGGATCAAGTGCAGGTCACCTAAGCTGCTGTGAGTTAGTGAATATAGTAGTTATGTCATGTCCCCAAACTGCATGTCACGGCACTACTTCCCTCACCCCTTACCTTCCTTCCATAATGCCTTCTGCAACGTTTTCTGAACCTTATATGTCAGGGAGCTTAATAGAGAAGTCCCAGTTAGAGCTGAGCACTCAATGGTTGCTTATTCTAAGCTCTTTGGACAGTTAGGAGTCTCTGCATTAATCACTGCCCACTGCAAAAAGAACCTCTCTGACCAGATTGGAAAACAGCACAGTTTCTAATTTTGTAAAATTTAAAAATGTGAATAGCACCACCTGACCATGCCCAGAGATATTTCATGAGGCAAATTATTTTAAGAAAAAGCAAGTTGTCATTGTTATGTACACAGCACAAATAATAGTAGTAGTAGAGTTTACGTCCTTTTAAGTAGTAGTAGTAATAGAGTTTATATCTTTTTAAGTAATGCTTTTCACAGAGCATCTTAACCATATCAAACACAGTGTCAAATATGGGATTGCTCTGGGAATCTTCTTACTGTTGGTCTCAAAAATCCCAGTACTGGGGCTGGATAGATAGTTCAGTGGCTAAGAGCACTGAGTGCTTTTCCAGAGTACCTGGGTTCAATTCCCAGCAACCACATGGCAGGTCACAATTGTCTATAACTCCAAGATCTGACATCCTCACACAGATATACATGCAGGCAAAACACTAATACACATAAAATACAAAGAAATATTTTTTTAAATCCCAATTATATTGCCATTATGAAACATATGCTTAAGTAGTTTTATTCTTCAGTGCTGGTATAGAGAGCACATTTTCCCCAGCAGGTTATGTTTGTTTATAAATCTTCCTCAGTCCATTTCTTTGCTCTTAGAACCTGACATACTACCACAGTTTTCTGGTCTTTTTGCGAGTTCCCATGGCATCAATATTTGCATATTTTTATATGTGTTTCCTGTTTAGCTGGCAGCCGTTCTGGGTCTCCAGGAAGAGTTCTAACCACAACAGCCCTCTCTACTGTGAGCTCTGGTGCTCAACGAGTCCTGGTCAGCTCAGCTTCAGCACAGAAGAGAAGCAAGATACCAAGGAGCCAGGGCTGCAGCCGAGAGGCCAGCCCCTCTAGGCTTTCAGTGGGTAAGACTGTGTGTAAGCTGACGTGGAGGTTGCTGAAATGTAGGGTACCAATTGAATCTTGACATGTGCGCACACAGGCACTCACACAAGCACATGTGGAGGTCGGAGGGCAACTTGTAGGAGTCATTCTCTATCTCTACCAGTTCCGGGATCAAACTCAGAGAGACTGACAGGAGTGCCTGAGCCACCTTGATGACTTTTGTAATATTCAACGCTATGCGTTTGCTTCATAAGATGACTTTAAAGTTGAAACATGGCTCAGTGGGTAAAAGCACTTGCTGCTCTTTCATAGGACCTGAGTTTGGTTCCCACCACCCATATTGGGCAGCTCACAACCACCTGTAACTCCAGTTCCAAGGATTCTGGCACAATCTTCTGGCCTCTATAGGGACTCACATGTGGCACACACTTAACACTCACACACATGCACACATAAATTATTTTTTGTTGTTTGTTTGTTTGTTTGTTTATTTGTAGAACCATGGTTTCACTCTGTAACCCTGGCTGTCCTAGAACTCACTCTGTAGACCAGGCTGGCCTCAAACTCACAGAGATCCACCTGCCTCTGCTTCCCGAGTGCTGGGATTAAAGGCATGTGACAACACAGCTGGCTAAATACTTTTTTTTAGGTTGTAAACTGTTGGGCATAGTGACTAAGCCTGGGGCAGAGGCAGAAGTATAGTGAATTTTAAGTCAGCCAGGGCTACATAGCAAGACTCTGTCTCTTACAAATTATTTTAAAGACAAAAATAGTATAAAAAGTATTTATTTTGTTGTGAGTAAAGTTCGCTACCAGGACATAGTCTGCCATGACCCACCTCTTCCTAAGAGGACACTGAGTGCTGTCTATTGCAGGGTGTGGGAAGGAACATCCTGCTGCACTCTGCTCAGAGCCCTGCCAGTTGCTCGAGTCAGGCCACATCTGGCTGCTTTGGTCTGCAGTGAGGCCTCCCTAGGTGTTTTCCCAACAATTTCTGACTTTTTGTATTTTTTTTTCCAAGCTTTTATAAAAGCCATATTTTCTTCTCATATCCTTACTGACATTGTCCTGTCGGTAAGGCTCATGATGGGTGGAACTTCTTCCTTAGAATTGCTTCTTCCTTTGTGTGGGCGGTGGCCTGGTCCTCTGAGAGTCCCTTTCACTGCTTTCCCAGACTGGGTGAACTCATCCTTGGGTCATCTCATTTTTCTTGATTTACTCCTTTGCTTTGCCTCATACACTTTCTCAAATAAATTACTCGAAAATTATGTTTAGGAGTACAAGTTTTTGTCACTGCCTAAGAATGTCTTTATTCAGTTAAGAGCTGGGGACTTCCTTCAGGAAATCTTCAGATTTGTAACAACAAAGGCTTCTGGGATTTCATCCTCACTAACTAGCTTCCTTTTGTTTTCAAGACATTACTTTAGATTCTTCTTTCTTACTTTTTTTTTCTTTCTGGTTTTTCCAGACAGGGTTTCCCTGTGTAGCTCTGGCTGTTCTGGAACTCACTCTGTAGACCAGGCTAGCCTCGAACTCATAGATTCACCTAACTGCCTCCTTAGTACTGGAATTAAAGAGGTGTGTCACCACTGCCCAGTCTAGATTCTTTATTATACCTTCAGTCAGTACTCAGATTTTTCTGGCACTTTTTCCCCCTGTATTTGTATTTCGTGTTTTTATTTATAAGAGGTGAAAAAAGACATGAATTGAAAGCTACATTGTGAGTTTGAGACTAGACTGCTTCATGGGTCCAGACACTTGGTCTCAAAAGAGAACAGAGTAAACAAGTAATTTATTTTCAGTCCCAAAACCAACTTGTTATTAATCAGTTCTTGAAAAACTGAAACTGTTTGGAAAGCCTAACTTCTGCCTTCTGTTTCCTCTTGCTGCTGCTGCTGCTGCTGCTGCTGCTGCTGCTGTTGCGTGTCAGCCCGGAGCAGTCGTATTCCTCGACCCAGTGTGAGTCAAGGCTGTAGCCGGGAAGCCAGTCGAGAGAGCAGCAGGGACACGAGCCCAGTCCGCTCTTTCCAGCCTCTTGGTAAGTGTCTGAGCAGGTGGGAGGCACACTGCTTTCCCAGGGAGTGGGCTGTCACCTTCGGGAAACCTCCATGTTCCTGGAATTCGGTGTTCTTCACCAGTGCTATCTTGGTCATTCTGAGGAGAGAGTCCAAGGATTGAATACATTGAGTCATGTGGCTAGCCTTTGTAACTTACCTTAAATGAGGAAGTCAATCATAAATGCATTCCTGTCACAATCAAGTCAGTGTTACCTAGATAGAAACTCAGAATATCGAATTTAATTTCTGTTCTAGGAAGTTTGAGTAGAGATCATAAATGAAACCAACCTGGCTTACATACTTCTCTTTAAGAAGACAAAAAAAAAAGGAAGTTTGAATTCAAAACCTGGAGAATTAGAACATGTTTTAAATATTAATTTTCTTACAAGTGAAGTACAAACTAGTTTGATTAAATAAATTTTATACTTTTTAAACAGAAAAATTGACTTCAACTTCGGTCATTTAATACAGTCTTCTAGAAAGACAGCCACAAAATAACGTGAACTTCTCATCATAGGGAAGGGTTGACATTTTATAGTGTTTTATATTTTAATTACCATGTAGCTAATGCTGTGTCACTGAAATGAAACTTATTTCTGATTATACTTTGTCTTGTATCTTTGATTATAATACTGTATTTGCCACCATTATAAAAGTACTAAATGACTTTTAAGGCGTTAATATTTCCAGGATAACTGGAGAAGCAGAATATTTTGCTTTGAGGGTGTTTGAATTTTTTCTCTCTACCCTTTTCATGCATGGATCTCCTTTTCTGTACAGTTAAGAGTAATAGTGTATGTTAAGATTTAGGAATGTTTGGAAGTTTGTGTGTGTGCAACAACAAAATGCTTGAAAGGCCATGCTGGACCCACAGCAAGCATTCAGTTACCATGGCCACTTCCCTTCCATCACCATGCTACGGCTGTTCTTTTCCTCCCTCAGCTTACCCTAAAAGCAATTCACTACACTTTGGTGTCAGGGTGCTCAGACTTGAATGATATATGCATTTATATAATGTTAATAGCGTACTGAAAGGAAATGTGTCAGGAAGAAACCAAATGTGTTTCTGTACATCTTAAGCTTGCTCAATAATTTAAGATTGTAGAAAATGTATAACCAAGTACTTCAGTTTTTAAAAAAAAAAAAAAAAGGTAAGCATGGGGCTAGAGAGATGGTTAGAGGTTAGGGTACTGGCTGCTCCTCCAGAGGACCCAGGTTCAGCTCCTAGACCCTTCCTGGTGACTATTACTGTCTGTAACTCTAGTTCCTGTGGTCCAGCACCTTCTTCTGGCCAGCAAGGGTACCAAGTATACAGGCATAGATGCAAGCAAATATCCGTACATGTAAGATTAAATAAAATATCGGGAAGCCAGAGAGAGAGAAAAGACAAAATGACCAGCATGGTTAGTTGGGCACAGTGACACACACCTGAAATCCCAGCAGTCTGGGAGGGTAGGCACTGGAAGTTTGAGGTCAGCCTGCAACATAGCAAAATACTCTTTCAAAAACAAGAACAACAACAAAAACTATAACCATTGTTAATAATCCAGTTTGTTAAAAAAATGTGTGGTACTGGGAATTGAATGTAGGGCCTTCCACATTCTAGATAAGAGTTCTGCCACTGAGCTATATCCTCTACTCTAAAAAGCACTTTTCTAAGGAAAGATATTGGGTTTTGTTGTTGTTATTGTTGTTGTTGTTGTTGTTGTTGTTGTTGTTGTTGGTGGTGGTGGTGGTGGTGGTGGTGGTGGTGGTGGTGGTGGTGGTGTGTGCCAACTTATATAGCTCAGGCTGGCCTTAAGCTACCTATGTAGCTAAGGCTAGCTTTGAATCCCTGATCCTCCTACCTTAACTTTCTGAGTCCTGGGGTTACAGGATTATGCTACCATACCTAGCTAGGCCATTAATATTCTAGATTAATTTAAAAGCTTCCATTTGACAAGTTACTTAGATTTATTACTACAGGCAGCTATTTCCTGATTCTCAATAAACTTTCTATTTAGGATAAAGATGCTAAAAGATTTTTTCAGTCTCTAGGTCAGTTTTCAGGAATGCTTCTGTAATCTCTTTATTTACATAAAAATAGTGCACAGCACCCCATGCTGAATCCCTGCATTCAGGCTGATTATTCTGTTTGTTTCACAGGGGTAGCAACCCAAAGGTTAGGCCATCCTCACCATTCCCATTTTCTGTACCCTGTAGTCCTTCCTACACATGCTGACTTGATGGAATCTTTTTGTCCTCTGTGACTTTGAATATTTATACTCAACACATAGGTTCTATAACTTGTCACATGGTCCCACTAGCGCAAGGCCAGTGTGAAGGTTTGAAAATACAAGAAATCAAAGCTGAGCAAAGTTTCACTTCTGGAACTTACCCCTTCTGATTCCATTTATTTCAGGAACCAAGAATTAAGAAAAGTGTTCTATATTATAGAACATGATACTTCTTATGTATATTGTAGCCACCCACATGACACCTCTTACTTATGTAAACTGTAGCCATAGGTGTGATACCTTACTTATCTGTATTGTAGCCACAGGTGTGAAACTGCCAACTTACTGTCTTGGACCAAAAGGACTGTTGACTCCTGAAAAGTTTACAAAGATTTTCAGCCACGAGGCATTTCCACATCATGACTCAGTTCCTCACCATATTAGACTATTCCCTTACATAATATTAGAACTGGGTAGTAGGGTTATCTACTGGCTTCTTAGTACTGGCCCTCAGTACTTAGTAGCTATTTGTGCACTGTTCTCTGTCTAATCCTTCTTTCCTTCAGTCTTTTTGATGACTTGACTGTTTATGAAGGAAGGCCATCCTGTAGGAAAGGCAAAAGTGACTCCTGCTACAAAAAAATAGTTAGCAGCTCTCACTAATACAGCTGAGGAGGATGAATTTAAAATGAAAGCTATGTATTTCATTAAACATTAAAATATATTTATATGGTTGTTTATTTCTGTATGTAAGACAAGAATCAGCTTCATGTGCTGTCAAAAGCTGAACAGAAGTCTAAAATGCCAAAGTATGATAAGTTTAGGTTGTAAAGTGGTGTTTTGGGGGATTGATTACAGATTTTTAAGGGGTTTTACTAGGTTATTGATACTTTTTTTGATGCTCATAAGCTTCCATTTTTCAATAATTCATTACCAAATGCAGATGTAATAGTTTATGGACTATTATGAATAAAATGCACATTAACGTAAGTGAAGTCAATGATTTTTTAATAATCTGAATGTTTTCTGTGTACTTTCTGAAAACAAAGGTCTTGAAAGAATACAGATCCTGAGTTACAGCACTTACAGGTGTGGTTTTCATCACATAAATCAGCCTCTGTGCCCTAATCCCCATCTGTCTTAGTCTGTGCAGCCTGCTCTAACATGCTCTAGACTCAGTACTTTGAAGTGAGCAGGGTTTATTCTCACAGTTCTGGAGGCTTGGGTTTCCAAGATGAAGGGTACCATCCATCCATTGTCTGTGGAGGGCCCTCTGGCTCGTGGGTCTTGTGGTGATGTCCTCTGTAGAAGGAACTTCTTAGTTCTCTGGAGTCTCCTTTATGAGTACCTTGCTCTCATGACCAGATTATCTCTTAGAGACACCACTTACCTTTTAATATTTGGGGTCAGGATTTCAACATAGGAATGGAAAGGCACAAAAATTCAGACCTATAAAATTGAAATAATAACTCTCACTGAGTGTTCGAGAGTAAAGGAGATATTATTAGTTACCATAGTGGTTTTTTTTTTACTACAAGTGTTTGTTTTTGTTTTGTTTTCATGCTTGTACTTTTGACATTTCCCTCCATTTGAATACTTGCCTTTTTTGTCTTCTACAGGCCTATGTCTGTCCACTTAGGTACAATTTGTATGTGTGTCAGGGTTGATCTTGCAATGCTAGTTAATGTTCATTTGCCATATGTGGCGATACTCTGATCATTAAATACAAAGAGTAACACCACTGTTAACTGACTCTCCTTGCCGACAGTAGTGCTGCCACTATCCCTTGTTTCTGTGGTGATAGATGAGGTTTGTATGGTCCTGTTATTCCAGCCTCCAGACACCATTCCAGATCCACTGGTGCCCTCTACGCCCCCGATGTGTATGGGGCCTCAGGTGAAGGATGAGTACATTTTCACTATCATCTCTGCATTCATCTCAGATTTTGTCCTTTTCCGTTTTTATCACATGATATTCATTTTAAAGTTAATTTGTGTTATTTAAGTTTAATTTATTAGAGAATAAATCACTTGGTTTTCTTCCCCCAAGTAACTATCCTCCCTTTAGCAACCTTAGCATTTTTCTAACTGGCAGATGGGCGTTGCTTTTTGTTGGTTGGCTAGTTGGTTTTTTCTTTTCTTTCCCTCTTTTTTTTTTTTTTTTTGGGGTATAATTTGTGTCATTTTTAAATATAGAATTGTTTTATGTTCTCAGTTATGTACTTTATCTTTATATATGTGTGTTTAAAAAAAAAAAAACCAAAATGGTGGATGAAGTGTTTTAATTGTAAACAGAGGTATGCAAAACAGTTGGTGGGCAGGTGAGAATTCATCTCTTGTCTATACATGTCAGACCATTGGGCACATAGTAGTCACTTAATGCTTATTGAACAGTCTGTTTTAGCTAAAGAATAAAATCAGTTATTCTGAAGGAGAGATTATAATTCGATTCTTTCTTGTGGTGAGTTGCTGGTGTGACTTCGTAGCTCTGGGTTACTTTATGGTTTGTTTCATTTGGGGAGCCTTGCCTGTACTGGCAGAGCCATGGTCTCCCTGTTCTACCAAGTAAACAGTGGTTCTTTAAATTTGTTTCTAATTTGTCAATAATTTTGATTGCTTTTTCCCTTTCACTTGACCAAAACCTCATTGTGCCCAGAAAAATACAATATTGCTTTTAAAATGCTTTGTCCCATTGGTTTTTTTTCCTTTCCCCGTATTAAGAGTTGAATCCCACCCCCACAACCCCTTGCATTATTACATTTGTGACTGTCTGATATCTGTTTTCCTTCTTTTTCTGGTGAATTAGGTCCGGGATATGGGATCAGCCAGTCAAGCCGATTGTCATCCTCCGTCAGTGCCATGCGAGTCCTGAACACAGGCTCCGACGTGGAGGAAGCGGTCGCTGATGCCTTGGTACTTTTCTCCATCTTCCTGTCGATGTAGATGTTCCTAGTCAATAAAGCCTGTATGTGAGAGAGCCTTCCCTGTGTAGGAGAAGGGATGAGAAATTCTAGATTAAACCTAAGAAGACAAAACGTAGACAGTATAAGTAGCAGAGTAATACATTAATGATCAAACCTTACTAATATTCAGAATTTTAAGCCAGATCAGTAATCTTAACTGGGTGTCAGGAACAAAAAAATCTTGATGTTTTTAATAATAGCAGTATCATGTTTAATGCACTGTGATCTACTGACTGTATGGCAAATAGATCAGTACATTTGTATGTATACTTACAAACATGTAATTTCAAGGTTATCTTCACCTTGAGTTTGTAGGGATTTGCTTTGTTTTGGAGACAGGCTTTCACTGTGCTGTCTTGGCTGTCCAGAAGCTCTCTATGTAGACCCTGCTGGCCTTGAACTCACAGAGTTCCACCTGCATTGGCCTCCTGAGTGCTAAGATTAAAGGCATGTACCACCATGCCTGGACTGATTATTTATTTAAGATTTTTTTTCCTGGTTCTTTATGCTCTGCATATTAAAAAATGAGCATTTAAAACACTGCAGGATTGGGGTATTTGTAGGAAGAATGCTGTGTACTATATGTATGTATGTATATGTATAAACACTGTTCTTATGTAAAATTATGAAGACTTGAAATGCTGGGTGGAATTTATTTGGTTAACTCCCCTAGTCAGTCCAATATGACTCTTTATCTTTCATATTATGGCTTACAATTAGGGTGTGGCTGAATGGTAGAAAACTGACCGAGCATGCATAATGCCCTGGGTTCATTTCTTAACACTCAAAACAGAGTGACTCAAATAATGATGATAGGAATCCTCTGTTTCAAAATATTTATTCATTTTCTCTTTGAGGGCTATTAGGATTGGTACTGGCATTGGACTCAGAGCCTTGTTCATACTGAATTTCTACCTGGAATTTATGGAAGGCCTCACCCTTGTGTTTGGTGGTTCCATCTGGTGTAGGAGCCTGTACATCCCAGGCGAGCAGCATACCACTGAGCTAGCACTAGTACCCCTCAGCTTAAAAAAACCAACCAAACAAACAACAACAAAAAAAAACAGACCAATATTGTGAAAAAAATATTTTTAGTTGTAGATGTGAAAGACACATTTTTAAAATATTCATTGGTAATAGCTGTGATTTATTGCATATCATCACGTGATAATAGCAATGTTGACTTTTTGTCTTTAACTCAAGCTGCGAGAGTTTTTAATATAATTAGAGGCTTTGTTCTTCTGAGTGTGGGATGTGTTGATCACATTTTCTGGTGGCATTTAATCAATCAGATGTTTTAAGGTTTTTTTGTTTTTGTTTTTTGGTTTGGGGTTTTCAGTTCAGGATTTCCCCATGTAACAGCCCTGGCTGTCCTGTAACTCGCTCTGTAGACCAGACTGGTCTCAAACTCCCAAGTGCTGGAATGAAAGGCATGCGCCACTACCTCCTGGCTTAAGTTTTTATTATGCCTTATTCTGTTTCCCAAATGATGTTTTGCTTTTTTTTTTTTTTTTTTTTTAAAGTTTAATGATTTGCCATTTAACTTTTGCTTGCATAGTCTTAGGGATTGGCTTGGTTATTCTTGAGTTGCTATTTATGCAAGCAAGAACGATGATAGCTTCAAGTTATGTGGAAATATTTAACCAAAAAGTTGTTGTAAAATTTATTTTTATATATATGGATATTTTGCCTGAATGTCTATCTTTGCACCATCTGCGTGCCTGGTACCTGTGGAGGTCAGAAGAGGCAGGCATCAGAATCCCTGAAACTGTAGTTACAGATGGTTGTGAGCTTCCATGTAGAAGCTGGGAATTGAACCCAGGACCTCTGGAAGAGCAGCCAGTGCTCTTAATCCCTGAGCCATCTCTCCAGCCCTTTTTTTTCCCCCCATTGAGACAAGTTCTCAATGTGTGGTTCTGGCTGGCCCGAAACTCACTATATAGACCAGGTGAACCTCATTATTTGCATAGCACAAATGTAACCATCAAGTTAATGGAAAATTTCCAACTACTAAACCAAATTTGTACCTGGAGAAATAAAGTCTAATTTAGAAGTGGCAAAAAGGCTATAAATAGTAAGAATACTTTTAATTTCGTTAGGAAACTGTCGATAGAAATGTTTTTGTAGTTTAGGTGTTTCTTTTTTAATTAAAGGATACTGACAAGATTAAAGATACAACCTCATTAAACAGTTCTTTGTTATTTGAATGTTATAAAACTGAATATTTCTGATCGTGGGCGTTGTTAATGGCAAGTTCACTGTGCTGTTTAGCAAAATGTTCTTCATTGTTTTCAATTTTTCTCTTTAAAAATTGACTGCTCTCAGCTCTTAGGAGACATACGGACTAAGGTATAGACATCACTATTTTCTGACGTCTTATGATATCATAACTTTTTTTCTCTCCTTCATCAATTTAACAGATAATAGTCATCTATTAAAAATTAAAGTGGAAGTAATAAAACCCTTAGCTGTCCATCTGTTATTCTGTCACTGTGATTGTCTATGGGGGATAATGACTGAACATAGTGTTTTGGGAAGGTGCCACTTTTCTTATACATGAGGTGAGCTGTTTATACTGGAGTCTTTAATAGAACTGTCCTGGAGCCCACCTGAATAGACACTGTCATTCAAAATTGAGTTAGTTAGTGTCTGTAGGTCGGTATGAGAGAGTTAGTAATGGCAGCAGCTTTGGAAACCTTTTGATTATTTATGTTAAGATAGTGTATCTTTAAGATTTTAACATCTGTAGATGCTTGGGAATTTTGAGTTCCTTCTACACTTAGTGTGTTTGTGGCAGTAGCTCCCCTTCTCCCCAGCCAAACCCAAGTATCAGAGCACATACTTTTTTTTTTTTCCAATTTCTCCAGGAAAAACTCAAACGAGCAGTTTACTCTACCTCATGCCACTTTTAATATGAAAGGAATAATGGGCAGTTACATAAATCACGGACCTTATAGTCAAGAAATGAAAAGAACCTCGACTGCTTTCTCTTACAGAATAAGCTACAGGACATAGATTACATTGGGAAAACTCTTAGGGACACAAAAGCATCGTGCTTCCTAAAAGTCTTAGTGAGCATAACACTTTCTCACTGTATTTTACTTCTCTTGAAAGCATAAAGGTTAGAACAAGGGAGAAATGGCAAGAGAAATAGAAAAGAAGAGATACATAGACAGGAAAGAGCATGGTATTTTACATAAGAAAATCCTGGTTCTACTCCTCTCAAAAGGTGGTATTTTCTTCTTATCAACTCCTACTTGTAGTACAGTTTGTATTTACAGTCCGTTCTTGCTTTTTCATTCTAAGGAGAAAGCCTATACTTGTGAGCATCTCCCACCTGACATGACTGAGCTTGCATATAGTCATCTTCTCCTGTACTGCTCTTATAGTTAAACAGTTCATGTTCTACTAACTTCTAAAGTCCTTCCTGAACAAAAACTAAATATTGACATTTTATCTTTACAATGGTTAGCAGCATGCCCTCCACTGATCTAAGACAGAAATCAGTCTTTTTGTGTTGAATAAACACTATGAAATACCCCTATGTTTGTAACTACTGCTAATGTAGTTCTTGATATGTAACAGAAAAAACCTGCTCGAAGAAGATATGAGTCATATGGAATGCACTCCGATGATGATGCCAACAGCGATGCTTCTAGTGCGTGTTCAGAACGCTCCTATAGTTCTCGAAATGGTAGTATTCCTACCTACATGAGACAGACAGAAGACGTGGCAGAAGTCCTCAACAGATGTGCTAGCTCCAATTGGTCGGAAAGGAAAGAAGGCCTCCTGGGTCTGCAGAACTTGTTAAAAAACCAGAGAACGCTAAGGTGAGAAGTGTCATGAAAGACTTTTTCAATCAGGCTAGCACCTTTTGACTTGATTTTGTGAAATGTGTCAGGAATTGTGTTAAAGGTTTTCCCAAGCTGTACTCCTTTAGGGCCATTAGTATCAAAACTAAAACTGCTGTAATTTTCTTGCTCTAATTAATGAATCATTTTAGAGCAAAACTTTCAGGTCTAAGAAGTGACTTACTAAGTGAAGTGCGTGTTATGCAAGTGTGAGGACCTGAGTAGAGGATCCCCAGAAACCATGCAAAACTGGACACAGCAGTGCACTGTAATTCCAGGGCTCCTTTGGGAAGATGGAAGGTGGAGATAGAACAGCTGGGAACTCCCAGTCCAGCTGTCTAGTGTACGCTGCAGCAGCAAAACAGGCGGCCCTGTCTCATACAGGTGGAAGGCAAGAACTGGAGACAGAGGACCTCCACACATGACAGTGCACCACACAGAGAGATTTAAAATATAAGTACCTTTTTAGCCAGGCATCGTGGCACACACCTCTAATGCCAACACTCAGGAGGCAGAGGCAGGCAGATCTCTGAGTTTGAGGCCAGCCTGGTCTACTGAGTGAATTTTAGTACAGCCAGGGCTACACAGAGAAACCCTGTCTAGAAAAAAACAAATACAAACAAACAAACAAACCACCTTTTTATTCAAAACAGGTTAGGTCAATATGTTAGTAATTTTGGAATTCAGAATGAGTAAGATGTGATTGTAGAGTGGTAGCGTTCTTTTCATTTTTTGTTTTTTGTTTGTTTGTTTGTTTGTTGAGATAGGGTTTCTCTGTATAGCTCTGGCTGCACTGGAACTCACTCTGTAGACCAGGCTGGCCTTGAACCCACAGAGCCTCTGCCTCCCAAGTGCTGGGATTAAAGGTATACGCCACCACTGCCTGCCTTAGAGTACTTCTCTAAATGGTTTAGTTTGCTTCATTCTTACATCTTCTGTTGTCCTTGTTGATGTGATGTTTTAAATCAATATAGTTGTTGACTCCTTAAGAACCCAACTTCAGGTTAGGCATGTAGGCACGTGCCTTTAATCTCAGTACTCTAGGAGGCAGAGGTAGTTGTATCTCTGAGCTTATAGCCAGATTGGTCTACATAGTGAGTTCAAGGCCAGTCAGGGAGACAATGTCCCCCAAAAAATCAGATTTGGATAATTCAGATTTGGTGTTAGTGTGATACAAATGTAGAAAGTTGTTTTCTCACTTGATGACAGTAATATTGATATTTTATATACTTTCTATTTGTACATTTTTAAATGTATTGGAAATGCATACTTGAAATGTTTTTTTTTTGTACTACCTAAGATATTTTAAGGAACACATATCACATGTCATGACTCAGTGCAATTAATCATAATACCTAGAGTATTAGGTGCAACATGTCATTTTAATTGGAAAAGCGTGGGCAGTTTGGAAAAAAGGTAGAACTTAAGAAAACATTGTAACATTTAATAAAATTCTTATGTGGGTCCCCACACACAGTTTGTTTCCTTACACATTCTGCTGATTAAATGTAGTTCTACCCTCATTGCTGTCCTCATCAGTAGTGTGGGTTGCAGCAGAATTAGTACTACATTTCACAGCTGTACATTCGTCTTGGCTGATAAATCCACAAATTTCTCAATTTTGAGGAATAATTAATATAACCTTTTTGTTGTCATTATTAGTAAATTTATTTGTGGGCTTTTAAATAATGACTTCACCCTATAGCAAGATATTAATCAGCCTTTTTTACTTTTTATTTTTGGCAGTCGAGTTGAACTGAAAAGATTATGTGAAATTTTCACAAGAATGTTTGCTGATCCTCATGGCAAGGTATGTTGTAGTATTTAATATTATTTATTCCTATAGGGTATGCAAAAAAAGTAATAAAGTGATAGAAGAAAACTATAAGCCATTGGTAGTGAAATTTTCAAACATAATTTCAGTTCTTTGTATCCACTCATTGAAACTTCTCCAAAGGGGAGAGGGGTGCAGTTACAATCTCTTATGATTCAGACTAAGAATGCTATGCAGGCTGGATGGTTGCTTGGTGGGATCTGAATTTTTACCACTAGAAACAGAGGTTTAAAATGTTAGCTGTAAGGCTTGGCAGTGGTGTCACACACCTTTAATCTCAGCACTTGGGAGACAACAGCACACTGATCTCTGAGTTCAAGGCCAGCCTGGTCTATAGAGTGAGTTCCAGGACAACCAGAGCTTTTACATACAGAAACTCTTGTCTTGAAAATCCAAAATCTTTTAAAAATAAATAAAATACAATGTCAGCTCTGGCGCTGGAGAGACAGCTGAGTGGTTAAGAGCACCTGCTGCTCTTACAGAGGACCCAAGTTCAGTTCCCAGTATCCACATCAGGTGTCTCACGACCCTCTGTAACTCCAGCTGCAGGGGCTTGGACGCCTTTGCATGCACATGTGTGAGTGCTTGCACACACAAACTCACATACACAAGTTAAAATAATACAAATAAATCTTAGGAAAAAGTGTCAGCTCTGGTGGTCTACTCTTGTGATCTCAACACTGGAGTGAATGGTGAGGTGTATCCAGGAAGATCCCTGTGGCTAACTAGCCAGTCAACTAGCCTGCATGGTAAGTACCAGGCCTGCCAGTGAGAGATGTCGTCTAATGAGCAGGTGAATGGTCCCTAAGAACAATACCTGAGGTTAGCCACTGGCCTCCACATACATGCTCATACACATGCATATACATGCTCATACATGTATATGTACATGTGTGCGTACACACACACATACAACAGAACATTTTGCTGTTTGTAAAGGATGTAATTGGAGTAAGTTGCAAATGTTTCTAACATTTCATTTCAGCTTTCTTCTGTGATAATTACAGCTTTAATATAACCATTCTTATCTTGAAAGAAAAATATTGTAGAAAATTTGCTATTAGCAAAAACCATAAAGTAATGTTTGAACCATGAGAGAAATTCTTCATACATTGGAAAAAACACATAAAAGCTTTCTGAGTATTTTCACTTTTTAATGTTCATCAAATATATTTAGACCTGGGCTTGGTGATACATTCTTGTATTCCCAGTACTTGGGAGATGAAGCAAGAAGATCATAAGTTCAAGACCAAGATCAAGCTACATAGTGAATTTAAGGACAACCTAGGCTACATGAGACCCTGTCTCAAAAATACGTGTTTAATGAAGTATGTAAAGTCATCGTGTGCTCTGTGAAATGTTGGCTTCCTTGACACACACCATTGTAAATGTGCTGTAGCCTTGCATGGCGTGGGTACCAGAACTCAAGAGTAGTGGTGACGAGGAAATGAAGAAATTGCAGATAGACAGACAAAAGTACAGGGAGATTAGGACCAGGTGAGCTGGGTCCTCAGATGGGAAAAGCTGCCCTGGAAGCTCGGTGTGTTTAGTATATACAGCTGAACAGGGAGACAGGGTCATTGCATACAGTGAACAGGGAGACAGCATTTATCGTATACAGCCGAACAGGGAGGCACCGTTTATAGTGTACAGCTGAACAGGGACGCCAACTTAGCTGATCTTGGTAGGAGTAATCTCTGTTAGGGGAGCAATCTTAGACTGTAAACATCTGGAGGGAGAAAGCTGCATTGGACATTCTCTCCACACTATCAGCATTTACACGTATGGAAGCCTGGCATGGGCCTTTGACACCTCTAAGCCCACCCTGTGACATACTTCCTCCAACAGGGACACAACTCCTACTCTTTATGATCCTTTCAAAGAGTTCCGCTTCCTGGTGACCAAGCATTCAAATATAGGAGCCCATGGGGGTCATTCTTACACAAACCACCACACCATTTCTATATTACTCTTGCTACCACTAAGGACTTCTATAGTGCTTACCTTAATGGAAACATTTCTATACATTGTAAACATTAAATTTTGATCATTTCAATTGACAAAATAAGTCAAAGAATGAGACCATTTCCTGAATGTACTTTGTTTGTTTTTTTTTTTTAAAGATTTATTTATTTATCATGTATACAGTGCTGTGCCTGCATGTGTCCCTGCAGGCCAGAAGAGGGCACCAGATCTCATTACAGGTCATTGTGAGCTACCATGTGGTTGCTGGGAATTGAACTCAGGACCTCTGGGAGAGCAGTCAGTGCTCTTAACCACTGAGCCATCTCTCCAGCCCTACCTTTGTTTTTATTAAGCAGCATTTTTATTTATAGGATGTTCAACTTTGAAAATACAGTTGTTAAACATCTTCAAAAGTGATAGAATTATAAAGTTGCTACTACCAAGGTCAAATTATTTCTTAGGGTTATAATTTGTGGCTCTTCCTTTGACAGTAATACAATTTTAATTTTAATATCATTGCCAGGATCTTTGCAGTGATAAAGAGAAACATTTTCTAAATGACCAAATAGGTGGGTCTACAAAATGTCTCATTGACGAAAGGTGCTTACTGCCAAGGCTGACAATCTGAATTTGATTCCTAGGACCCAAATGACAGAAGCAAAAAGATGACTTTCTATTGTCCTATGATCTCCACATGTGAATTGTGTCATGTAACTAATCCCCATATACAAATAAAGAAATAAGTAGTAGTAATTGTTTTAAAGATTAAAGAGAAGAGCCGAATTTGACACTGGTTAGGGAAGTGAACTGATCATAATGTGCAGAACTGGCTCCACACCCCTAGAATTGATCGCAAGGGTCACCTATCGGCTTTTGTCTTAGGATTTTATAATATAGAATTCTCTCTTTTTTAAATCAGTTTATTATTTTATGTGTATGAGTGTTGTTTGCCTGCATGCATGTGTGTTCACCAGGGGTATGCCTAGTGCTCAGTGAGTTCAGAAGGTGTCAAATGCCCTGGAACTACCATTATAGATGGTTATGAGCCCCCATGTGGATACTGGGAATTGAACCCAGTCCCTCTGCAAGAGCAACAAGTGCTTTTAGCCACTGAACCAATTCTATCCCCAACATACAATTCTCAAAGATCCATCTGCCTTCACTTCAAAGTTTTTTGAGACGGGATATCTATGTATATCCTTAGCTGTTCTGGAACTCGCTCTGTATACCGGGCTGGCTTGAACTCACAGAGATCAGGCTGCCTCTGTGCTGGGATTAAAGGCCATGCACCACCACCACCCAGAAGAAGGTTTTTATTTTTGTTTGATGATATATTTTGTTTATATTAGCTCTGCTAGTAATGTAATTCATTCAGAATAAATTGGACATATAACCACATTGTGCTGAGTTAAAAATACTGGGATTTAATTTGTGGGTTTTTTTAATTAATTATGTCATATTACTAAAATAATAGATATGCCTCTCCCTTTCAATATATCTATAGAGTGTCTAGGATCCCTCCTTTTTTTGACACCATCTTTTCTGTAAAAATATTTATAATTGGGCTGGAGAGATGGCTCAGAGGTTAAGAGCACTGGCTGCTCTTCCAGAGGTCCTGAGTTCAATTCCCAGCAACCACATGGTGGCTCACAACCATCTGTAGTGAGATCTGGTGCCCTCTTTTGGCTTGCAGGAATACATGGAAGCAGAACACTCTAAACATAATAAATAAACAACATAATAAATAAATATAAAAAAATATTTATAATTATTTTATTTTATTTTATTTTATTTTATATGTATGAGTGTTTAGCCTACATGTCTACATGTGCAAGCATGGTGCCAAAAGAGCTCTGAAACTACCATGTCTGTGGTGGAAATCGAACATGGGTCTTCTAGAAGAGTAGCCAATGCTCTGGTGGTAGTGGTGGCAGTGGGTTTTTGCTGTTTGTTTCTTGAGATAGGATCTCGCTATGTAGCCTTAGTTGGCCCCTGCCTCTCTCTGCCTCTGACTCAAGTGCTGGGATTAAAAGAGTGCACCACCAGGCCATTTATAGTCAGTACTCTTAAACTACTGAGTCGTCTCTCCAGGGGCTGGAGATCATGAAGGTTAACTGAATGAAGGTTAAGAGTTTTGAAGGGGGAAATATAGCACCACTACCCTTCTAGAGGGTGAAATTACACAGTCCTGAGTCCTGCTGTCTCCACATCTGGCCCATATTCTTCTCTCAGTGGTGACTCATAATCCTCCTCCTCTTGGTTCTTATATCAAACATTCTGTCTTCTAAAACCCCCAACCACATTTATCTTCCCACCTATCTCTTCTGCATAGATGTCAGCCCTCAAGCAGGAACCATATTTCCTGCCTCTGACCATCTTCCTTGCTGCTGAAATAGAAGAAGCTCTCACCTTGAAACTGTTGTTCCATACAAACATGTGTTCCCTGTCCCTGTATCAGTGATTCTCAACCTTCCTAATGCTGTGATCCTTTAACACAGCTCCTCATGTTGTGGTGACCCCCAACCATAAAATTATTTTTGTTTCTACTTTGTAACTGTAATTTTGCTACTGTTAATGAATCATAATGTAAATATCTGTTTTCTCATGGTCTTAGATGACTCCTCAAAAGGGTTGCAACCCACAGGTTGAAAACCACTGTGCTATATGGTCTCATCTACTTGGCTTTTCAGGAATCTCTTGCAAATTCCAGCTTACTGTTTGACCCTGTTTTTGTGTTATTCAACTTCATTTTGATCTCTTTGTATTTGGAGGTACTTTTTCTATCATTTAATGAATGGGTAGGATAGGGAAAATGGTGTTTTCTTCTGTGCTGAATCCCTCACTCCCTTGTGCCCATATCTTTTACTCTTGCTCTCACAACCTTTATCTACCTGATTTATTGATGTTGCTGGTAGAATGTTGTACATAGATCCTTCTTTCACATTATACTTTGTTTATTATTTAATTTGCGTGTGTGTTGTCTTCCTATGTAGACCAGCTGACCTGGAACTCTTCTATAAATCAAGTTGGCCTTGAACTCAGAACTCACAGAGATCCTCCTGCCTCTGCTTCTTGGTTATTGAGCTTAAAGGTGTGGGCCACCACATAATACCTAATGTAAATACATTGTAACTGATTGTAAAATTGTATTATTTAGAAAATTATAGGGGAAATGTGCAAGGTTATAAATGCAAAGTTTTTTCCAAATATTTTCAGCATGTGGTTGGTTAAAGCACAGGTGCAGAATCCTGAAATACAAAGAACTGACTCCGTCCTCAACCTTCTTGTGTTTCTTGATCTCATTGTATTATAAATACCACCATTTGACTACTCAACTTAGGAATTTGCATTACTATAAAAATACTACTACTTTTGATTCTGCCTCTGAATGTCTCTCTGATCTCACTGCTAATTCAAAGTAATCTTTTTACCAATTGCACATACACATACATACACAGACACAGACAGACAGACAGACAGACACACACACACACACACACACACACACACACACACACCACCGATACCTAAATTAGCTGCCACATTGTGTGCAACCATCTTTTTTTATGTTTTATAAAATCTTTATTGACAGATAATTCACATAGTATACAATTTACCTGTTTGCACAGTTAGA